TATTTTGATTTAATAAACTAAACGTTCACCAAAAAACTTTAGTGAGAAAAATCGAAAAAACGAACTACAAACATATTAACGCCAAACATTCGGTAAAATTTATAGAATATTGTAAAAATTATGGTCTATTACCAACATTTACACACACATGTATATATATATATATATATATATATATATATATATATATATACATATATCCAACATCACAAGCACGCCCAATGACAACCACAACGATCTTATTATACTTCATTTTATCATGTCTTCTATTTTCAATTAATTTTCAATATTTTTTCACAACAACCTAACTTAACCCTGCCCCTAACTTAACACACATCAACTTTACACACATATACATTACACACAAACAAACACAGACAAACACATCAACATAACAACACGATGAACTAATCATTTTCTTTTTCTTTTCTTTCATGTATATATATGTAAATCGTAGAAATAAACACTCACACTTTTACGCTATCGTACATTTTATGAATACTTTTGTTTTGATAATTCTTTCAAACAAACACACACTCACATACAACAAAACTGCATACTCACGCACACGAAACCGCACCCACATAACCCAATAACCTATCACATCACAAACATCTTAAACACACACACCCACACACGCAATAACTATATATATACATACTTTTTACCGTTACTTTTCAGTTCCGATGAAGGAGGATTCCGAAAATTTAACTGTTCCTTTTGAATATTACCGGTATTTTCTAAAATATTTGAAAAATTAATGTTCAATAGAATGTGTAGTTTTTTAATTGAATATAATGTGACTAATAAACACCAATACGGTTTTGTTCCGAAGTCCTCTACTGAGAAAGTCATTGCAGAGTTGCACTTGTCTCTTTTGGAAAACTTTGATAAAGGAAATTTCAGCATAGGTGTTTTTATCGACCTGAAAAAGGCTTTTGATGTGATTGACCATGAAATTCTGCTTCGAAAATTGTTTAAATATGGGTTTCGTGAAATTGTTCTTGGTTCAGATCTTACTTAAATGATCGTAGTCAGTATGTTTCTATTGACAATGTTGTGTCATCCCCTTTGAGGATTTTAACAGGTGTTCCTCAGGGTTCCATATTGGGACCTTTGTTGTTTATAATATTTGTGAACGATATCTTTTCTATATCCGATAGATGCACTGTGATGTTATTTGCTGACGATACCAGTATTTTTTTGTCAGGTAAGAGCCTGCTTGACTTATTCACGGAGATAAATAGCCAGCTTAGTGTGATTTATGATTGGTTTTTGTCCAATCGGCTGACTGTGAACATATCCAAGTCTTGTTATGTCATCTTTGGTCCCTCGATAAAAACGAACAAGGTGCCCCTGAGTGGCTTGGAGCTGATTATCCGTGCGGTTGGGATTCTGTTTAGAGTGAGAGGCAGGTTGAATGTCAAGTCAATGATCTTACTTTATTATTCTTTTTTTTTATCCACGTTTGTTATATGGAAATGTGTTTTGGGGATTCGCCAGTAAACATTGGATCAATAAAGTTTTAGTGATAAAAAACGTTTTATGCGAATAAAATTTTCTTCTATTATTATTAGTCTATTATTGTAATTTTTTGTTTGATTTTAGTCATGGTGGTCTTCGCAAGAACTTTTGTTACTTTTTTGATCTCCTGACTTTTTTTTGTCAAATAAATTGGAAGAAAACAAAAATAAATAAAAATAAAAAATCCACTTGTCTTGTGTCTTTTTTATATTATAACAAAGTTAAAACACAACTCAAAGAAATGGATTTGTTCACATTCGAACTTGTTCAACAATTTGAAGAACTTAAAGCAAAACTTGACCAGTGGCAGAACACAACAAAAAACGTAACGCAGCGTGGATCCGCGAATCCACTAAACTACAAAAATGCGCTAGGCCATGGAATGACAAGAAGAATGCCGCTTCTGCCGGATCCGCTAATACAGCTCCACCACTCAGGGGCTCAATTCAGATACAGACCACTACACCCCATTATCCCAGTCAACAACCACAACAAGAGCAACAATGCGAGAAGTAACACTAACAACAACACGAGAACCATACATCATCGAATTGACAACAAGAAGTTTCAACAAATAAAAGCAACCGCGAGACTCATCTACAAGAAAACACAACTCACCCACCACATAGACAACTGGAAAGAGAATAGGGCGAAAATCCTCAAAACAACCATTAACAATCTAAAAGACAACATCAACCCACCCAACAAAAACAACACATTCAACCAATCAATATCAATCATCCTTGACAACACATACGAGACTATCAAAAGCACTATCATCAACCATCTCAACAACAAACTATCCAACTACCACACCATTCACTACAAAAACATAGACCTAATAGACGACACAAAACCAATCAAGGATCACATCAGGTTCCTCCAGGGAAAAAAAAATTTTCATCACCACAAAAACAATATAGACAACATCATCAAAAACGAAATCGAAATTATCAAAACGGTCATCTTCAACAACAACAATAACAACAACGACGACAATACGAAAAACAACACAAATAATAAAAACTCCAACATCACAAGCACGACCAATGACAACCACAATCACAACAACAACATCAACAACATGATCAACAACAACAATGAGTACAATAATAATAACAATAATAATGTTAATAAAAAAATAACAATAATAACAATAATGATAAAAATAATAACAACATTAACAAACACAACAACAAACAAACTATCACCAACAATAATGATAACAACCTAACCCTGGATGCGGATGGCAACCAACCCTGCACATCCAACTCAAAACCCACAGACAACAACCAATCTGACGACAACTACAAAACATGCAGAAAACCAACAAGCCAAATCACAATACAACAACACACCAAAACTACAACAAGCGTAATAAACAAGCGATCGACTGACGAAACGGAACCAAACACAACACCTACAACTACGAACAACACCGACATGACACCTTACTCTGATCCATCAACCACCGACGTCGACCTCAACCTCAGCTCCCTCTTAGATACAGACGATGATAATTTACTCTATGAATTTGACATGAACTCCATCATCAACAACACCACACCATACCGCATGGAGATCAACAAAACATTTAATTTCAACAGCAACAATCTATCATCATCACTACAGCCCAACAGCAAACGAACAAAAAACGCCACCCTAAAAAAACATACGACGTTAAAGAAGAAGAAGACGAACAAACCATCTGCAACACCTTCATCAACGAAATTTTCACCAACTATAACGACCCAACAAACAGAAACACCTACAACAATAATGACACAACAAAATCAGATAACAACATCACCGATGATAATAGCAACAACAACAACAAAATCAACAATAACAACATTTACAATTACAATGACACAACAAAATCAGATAACAACATCACAAATGAGGTGATGAACAGCCAAGACACCAATAGTAGGAACAACAACAACAACGACCAGTACAACAACAACCACAACAACAACCACAACAACAATAATAACAACAACAACACTCACCGAGCCAAGAACAAAAACAACAATGACAAATTCATAATCGTTCGACCATGGAACGGACGACAACCACCAACCAACCAGTACCATCTATTTCAACATCAACTCGGAAGCATGATGATATGCTCAATCGTATTGAGGCTGTACTAATTTTTTACTCGTTCACATATGCGTGATAGAACAGAAAAGCTATTTTCGGTATTCCTATGCCATCTTCGGTGTTCAAATTGATATGTGGTGTATGTGCCCAGATGCTCAAATATATATATACTGTGCCTCTACTCTACTAAACATCCAACGCTAGAAAATCTGTAGATTTTATAAATAACTGCATTAATTATAGTTTTTTTTACCAGCAAATACACACACACACACACACACACACACACACACACACACACACACACACACACACACACACACATATATATATATATATATATATATATATATATATATATATATATATATATATATATATATATTATTAAGAAAAATCTTAATATAGCGTTCGTTATAGCAGTTTTCACAAACGTTATCAAATTATAACTAATATTCATATCAAAATAGCAAGAATGAAAAGAATTGAGCTTTAATAAAAAAAAGGTATGTCTTTAATTGTCCTTTAAATTCAGCAATGTTCATTCCAGGCATTCTGAGGGCTGATGGCAAGCCGTTCCATACGACAGGGCCTGACACAGCAAAATCACGTGATCCAATCTTTAGCTGTCTATGAGGAACCAAAGGAATTTTCGAATCGTCAGACCCCAGACGCAGACGCACACCATATGCGGTCGACGTTTTTAATTTCATTTTATCTGGTAAATATTTTGGAGCCAGACCGTTTAGTGTTTTAAAAACTGTGACAGATATTTTAAAAGCAAGTCTTTTATTTATGGGCAACCAATGCTGATTATTCAGGATCGGTATAGTATGATCATACAATCGACATCCAGCCACAATCTAGGCAGTACGGTTTTGAATCGATTGCAGAATTTTGATAGATCTGGCCGGTAGTCCATAAAACAAACCATTGCAATAATCGACACGTGAGTGCACCCACGCATACGCCAGAGCCTGCATTGCATCTTTATCAAGTGATTCTCAAATTTGTTTCATTCTTCTAATCTTTGCCAGGCATGATATAGAGATCATTTTTAAATGAGATTTCATTGTTAGGTTTGAATCAATTATAAAACCAAGGTTTGACAATGCTTTACAGAAATCTATTTTTTTATCATTCATAACAACTGAATTTATACCCAAGTCTACAAACTGCTGTCAAGTACCAATAGGAAAAAAATTTGTTTTACCCTGGTTAAGCTTCTATTCATTTCTCGACATCCACAGATTAACTTCCGACATACAATCAATGAATCTTGTAATCTCGTATTGGAATAACTTCGGTTTACCTGATAACATAATTTGGATGTCGTCTGCATATGCATGGCTTGTTAAATTATAAGAATCAATTATCTTCAACACATTAGATGTATAAAGCAGAAACAATAAGGACCCAAAACAGATCTCTGCGGCACACCAGAGAGAACCAAAGTGACGTAGGACAAACTTCCTTTAAACGAAACATGCTGTGTTTGGCCAATCAAGTAGCTTCTGAGCCAATTTTATATCTTCCCAGATATTCCAAAACTTTGATGTAGCCTGAGCAGTAACATTTCATGGTTGGCACAATCGAAAGCCGAGCTCATGTCCAAAAATGCCAACAAGAAAATGTTTTGAGCACCCATCTCAGTATAAACCCTTAAGAGAACATGTAGCAGCGCAGTTTCAGTAGAGTGAAATCGTCTAAAACCGGATTGATGTGAAGGCATGAGATTATTACCATTCAACTGAGCAAGCAATTGTCTCGACACCATTTTTTCAATGAGTTTTGATATAAATGACAGATTACGAATTGGTCGACAATTATTGACATCACTTCGACAATTACATGTTTACAACGTAACCAATTACAAATATTGCATAAACAATAATTTGCTGCAAAATAATAGAATCAGTTATGTCTGATCATATCAAAAATTATTTTTTAAGCAACCATTTGTTTACAAATAGACAAAATGGGTTCCTCCCATCTCGTTCAATCGCTTTGCAGCTTTTGAAATTTGTTGATAAGATAACCACGCCATTGGAAGCAGGTATAAGTACAGATATTATTTACACCGATTTGGAAAAAGCTTTTAATAATAATAATAATAATGTCATTATAGCTAAGACTATTGCCAGTGGGGTTTTTAGGGTGGAGACTTTGTTTGTAATTTACATTAACGACATTTACTCAATATACAACAATATCTTTTTATAAGCTGACGATGCTAAAATTTTTGGATCAATATCTGTGCCACAATATGGAGCAGTGTTACAAGGTTTTTCAATAATGTAATATCGTAGTTCCAAAAATGGAGCCTGAAAGAGATCTTGCCAATGGTGGAGAATATTCCTGACCTTGAAGTGATAATAGATAGTCACTTCCAATTCAAAAATTTTAAGTCAAATAAAAAATATAACTGCATTTTGAGAAATTAGCCAGAAATTTTAGTTGACTGTTTGACGAAGCTTTCATCTTTATCTACAAGTTTTTGGTTCGCTCACGTTTGGAATTTGATGTTCAAGTTTGGTGTCTCTATACAAAAGGACTAAGTATTAATTTAGAAAAAGTTTAGAGAAAAGCTACAAAATTTCTAAAGGCTTGTAAAATTTTGGATTAAAATTCAAGATTGGTAAAATTAAACCTCACATCTCTCGAATACCGCAAAATCAGAGACGATGTAATTAGGGTTAGGGTTAGCCCACACTTGTACAGTAGACCTGATGTCAACACCAGAGATCATTAGTTTAAGCTCTGTATTCGACTGGCAAAGAAGGATTGTAGAAAATATTTTTTTTCGAAACGAGCTGCTGGCCCCTGGAACACGTTACATAATGACATTGTTAATGCTCAGTCATTAGATATTTTTAAAAATAAACTTGTTTTTTTATGGTGAAAAAAATATTTAACATCTTAATTTTAGTTTGTCAAATGTTTGATTTTGATTATTGGTTTAAATCTTCGTTTGCATATGTGTATGTAATAATTAATTAAAAAAAATTTCTTTTTGAACATTGAAATGGATTTAGACTTTAATCATTTTTTGTTGATTTTTATTGAAATTCGATTTAATTTACTTTTGTTTATTTATGCCTTTTAAATCAATCAATCAATCAATTACTTTATAATGCGCTATTACCGCAATGTTCAACAGCGTTCCTCATTGAATTTTGCAAACAGATGGGTCTTTAGATCCGCTTTGAACTTTGTTCGTGAGTCAGAAAAAGAGGTAAAGAGTTCCAGCGAGAAGGGCCAGAAAAAGCAAATGCAGTATTAGTAAAAAAGTGTTTAACACAAGTTAAGAAGAAGTGAGAACTGGAAGACGATCGTAAACCGGAGCATTTATGTTCAATTAATATATGTGATAAATACTTAGGAAACCCTTTCAGTTTTGGCAAAGGGGCTTTGCCCAAGCCTTATAATAACAATAATGATAATGTATAATTATCATTTTTGATGTCTCGTTACAGAAAAACATAAAAATGTCTGGCTAACTATCTAATTAATTGGTTTATTTAAGATATTGCTTTGATTTCAACAGACGAAAAATACAAAATATTTATCCGGTTGATTATGTTGATACAAATGGATTAAATTATTTTTCTAGCTATTGATTTTAGAGATCAAATTCGTCGAGTTTTATAAAACTTTCCTTCCTTATACGAATAATAAAATTTATGTATCAAATTATTCACATAATAGTTTTTTTTATTAATTTCGGTATAAATGTTAGCACTTTACCCTCACAAGCAATGGCTTACTAAAATATTGTGCTGACTTACTAAAAAAATCCAACTATAGACTTGGTGGTTTACTGCTTTTAAGCCAATTAACCCAAAGTTTATTTCGGCAATCCTAAAATCAACTGTTACAATTTTAATTACTTTATTAAACTATATAATTATTGGAATTACAATTATTATCTTATTAAACTATTTAATTACTAGCATTACGATTATTTTTAAAAAAAACTGTCAATCAATTAATTAATCAATCAAATAGTTTGTAAAGCGCTGTTTCCGCGATGTTCAAGAGCGCTCCTCAGTGAATTTTGCAAGCAGATGGGTCTTAAGATCCGATCTGAACATCGTAAGAGATGGAGAAGTAGTAAGAGAAGGAGGTAGATAGGTAAAGAGTTTCAGAGAGAAAGGCCAAAAAGCAAATGCATATTTAGCAAAAGAGTGTTTAACACCAGTTAAGAAAAAGTGGAAACAAAACAAAATTGTAAACCGGAGCGTATTATATTAATATATCTGATAAGTACTTAGGTAATAATTTAGATTGAGACTTAAATATAAATGTGCGAATTTTATTTTATAGGTGGCCAATGCAAGAGAACAAATTATGATAATATATTAAAAAAGTAAAGGGCATGAGCAACTAGACGAGCAGCGGAGTTAAAAGCTTTTCATAAAGGATAGAATGTAGAATCAGGAAGATTATAGTAGAGCGAGTTACAATAATCAATTTTAGACAAAACTAAAAAAGTAACAAGTAGGATCCGTCAAGAAACGGCAAGTTTTTTTGTTTTACGTAGAGAAGTGACATGCTGTAATAAAAAATAAAGCCTAGACTACAAACCTGTGAAAAATATCAACAGTTTTAAAATCAGGTAAGATAATAGGAGGAATAGAGCGCTTAGATTTATTAAAACAAATTAGTTCAAACTTAGAAAGATTATGTTTAAGACACATAGTTAGATCAAGCGATAATTGAAGAAAAATATAGAGCTATAGGTTAGATGGAAGAAAATAAGTATAAATATAAGAATCATCATCATATAGTTACTAGTGAAAGAAAAATTATTAATAATTCGAGGTAGTTCAGAAGTATAGAGTATAAATAGAAGAGGGCTAAGGATAGAACCCTGAGGTATCCCAAATGTAAGAGTTAGAGGAGTTAGAAGTAGAATTATTAAGAACAACAGAAAAAAAACGTTTACAGAGATAAGAAGAAAACCACGATAGAAAAGAATCAGTAAATATTAAAGAATGATCTAGCAGCCTCAAGAGAATAGTACAATCAACAGTAACACAAACAGAAGAAAAGTCAAGAACAAGAAAGTGTTAAAATTTTTGAGGTAAGGCTTTTACAAGTATCTGCAAGTTAAAACAAACCTCAAAGTAAGAACTCAGCATAATAAATAAAAAAAGTGCATTGAACCTGTAGTCTGACTGTTTTCGTCATCTTCCTCCTCATCAACTCGATTGTCTATTTCCGTTGGCGATAACAAGACTGCTCCAATGGCAGCTGTGGTTCGATATCTGCCAGCTGATCTAAGTGTGAAAAAAAAGTTGTATTAAATTGTTATTAAAATCATTTTGTTCATTAAACGTAATTAATTTAATTTTACATGCCATCTGAAAATAGGTAATCCATTTCATATTCCAATCAAATGTTATTGCTCAAAATTAATTAAAGATATTACAATAATATGTTTAAAGCATGATATAAAACACTAATCATCCATGTTACGTGACGAGATAGTGTAATTTTTAAAACGCCTGGTCCTGCTGTTACTGTGAGAGTGACTGGACTCAAATGCAGCGTGTGATGCTTATTATTTTTATTATTCTTTAGAAAATCAAAATCTGACAGATGCAGAAATTGTATAATATTGCCAGGCAATAGTATAAAATGATAATAAAAAATAAATAACGGGGTAAGAATGTTTAAGCATGAAAAGGATGGAAAATAAAATAATGATTTAAAAAACGAATAAAATGTCTATGTGACTAGTTAATGATTTAGTAAGTTATGTAATCGATAAAGAAAGAGATACACATTTTTTGTTTATGGAGTAAGAATATTTTTTAAAAAGGTTTCAAGCCTCCTTTAATTAAAACCTAAAGCATAGATTGTAGGGCTAATTACAAATGAAATACCCCAAAAATATACATTAGTTCTAAATAAAATAAAACATAAAAGTAAATGAACAAAATTGAAACATAATATCTTGTAAATTAAAAAAGCATAAAAGTTATTATCTTTTAAATTAATGATTCTTTTTTTGTAAGTTAATGAAGGTAATGATGGACATAATTTTATTCCGTAAATAAAGATAGAATGAGAAAATAGAACTGAGCAGTTTATTCAATAAAACATCATGTTATTGAAAGCTTTAACGATAACTATAAAAACACCTATAGTAAATAACTTAGAATTAATATTTTCCATGGCATATTGATTCATGTCTAAAATAGCCAAGTCCGTGGAACAATTTTTCAGAAAACCATACTGGTTGGCGTTAATAAGATTATGCCAATCAAAAACTGTGTTAAGTGAGTATGAACTATTTTCAATTATTTTTGAAAAAGTAGAAACAAAAGGGAAATAAGACGATAGTTGAAGAGGCCATTATGCGGGCCATTTTTATATAAGGAAAAACATTTGCTACTTTTAGATATTCGAGAGAAACACCTTTAGATAATGAAAGATTTATGCACTGTGATAAAGGGATAGTAATTGATGTCATGGTTTGTTTAATTAGAAAATTGGAATAAACATCATCAGCCTGAGAAGTGGAATTTTTCAAGTTTACTATAAGATTTTTTATTTCATCTTTTGTGACATAAAGTAAAAAAATTTTCAGAATTTAATGGTAGTAAAAATTTTTTTAAATAATTTCTAATAATTTTTAGTTTTAAACTACAGTGTGTCATGAAAAACTTTAACAAAAGCTTCGCATGTTTCCAGTTTGTTATTGGTTAATTATTAATTTTAATTATCTTGGGAAATTTATTTACATTATTTTTATTCATGGTTTGTTTAATAATTGACCAAGTAAGTTTTGAGTTCCTTTTATTTTTTTCTAGCTCATCTTTGAAATATTTTTTCAGCAAAACACTTTATTAAAGTAAACGAATTACTATATGTAGTATAATTTAATTTATTAATTGTGGTAGGATTTTTTAGATAAATTTATTTTTTATTTTAGAAGATTTAAAAATACCTTCAGTCATCCAGGGACTCTTTTTGATAAGCTTACGTTCAATTAAAGGACAATGTTCCAAAATTTGTTTCTGAAAAATATTTAAAAGAGTGGAAAAAGCATTATTAACATGATTATCTTCCAAAACAGGCTGCCAGTCAAAATTAGAATATGATTTTTTAAGGCATTCAAATTATGTTGAGAAAAATCACGAAATTTACAAGGTTTGACAACATCTGGTAAACGTTTGTCAAAACTAAACGTGAAAACCGGAAGGTTATCAAAAATATCGCCATAGATAATTTCAGATTTGTGATCAGAAAAATTATTTGTGAAAATGTTGTCTAAGAATGTTAAGGTGGAATTTGTAATTCGAGTTGGCTCAATAATTAATAGTAAAAAATTTATCGAGCTCATTGAGTTTAAAAAACGATGATCATCATTCAATAAATCGATATTGAAATCACCTGTAACATATACGAGTTTGTCATGTGACTGTGATTGAGCATCATTGGGAAGTGTGACACTATAATCGATAAACAGATTGGGATCTGTATTAGGAGGACGATATACAACAAACAAGATTATATTCAATAACCTCTCAAAAATCAGTTCAACCGCCATTATTTCAAAATCAAAATTGTTGGTATCAGGACACAAATCATCCCTTAAAACAAAAAATAATTCTTTCTTAACAAAAAAACTTACGCCTCCACCGTGAGTTTTACGTTTTCTATTTTTATAGGCTAAACGTAATTAGGTAATAAACTAAGTCACCATTACCATCGTTTAGCCAAGTTTCCGAAATCGCTATAACATTTAGATTAATATCAAGATTTGCTAGTAATATTTCAACATCATTAATCTTATAAAATAAGCTACGTGTATTTATGTGTAATAAATTAAAGTTTACAAGCGATAATGATGTCTAGTAAGTCGGGTATGTCACATAGTAAGCATGATAAATAAAATAATGATTTGAAAAAACAAATAAATAGAATAAATAATTAATAAATGTACTGGTAAATGACTTAGTAAGTATGTTAAGTGATCGTTAAGGAAAAAGAATAGAACAAAATTGGACAAATGACAAAGGTTTATTGAGTTAAATATTCGGTTGTTTTCGAGATAAGTTAAATATATATATTTAAGGTGTCTTGTGATGAAGTTCATATCCTGATACGTTGACTGAGTGACGAGATATCCGCGAGTGTTCACATCAGTTATGTTGTGTATAAGGAAAAACTAAGAGGGTAGACATTAATAATTACAACTATGAATGAAATAAACATAACTATGAATAAAATTAATACCTGGAATATTGTTAATAAAAAAATAAATAAATAGGGCTCATTATACCCGAGACGTTGAAACTTTAACAGTAAACGCATTTATTACACAAAAATATTCCTTCTGTGAAAATTTTTCACAACTTACAAAAGTTTTTGAAGCAAATTAATGATAAGGTTCATTATTTTTTTGAAGACGATTTTAAAAATTATAAAATTTCAACATGTTTGGCAGATCATAAGTTAGCAGTGTTGATTAATTACTTCAAAAATAATATCTCCGTTTTCAAAATCAATTATTCAATTGGTTTGTTTTTAAAGCGCCATTTCCACAACATTCATCAGCGCTTCTCAATAAACTTTACAAAAAGATGGATCTTGAGATCCGTTCTGAGTTTTGTAAGTGATGGAGAAGCAGTTAGAGAAGGAAAAAGAGAGTTTCAGAGAAAAAAGATCCGAAAAACCAAAAACAGATTTGGTACAAAATTGTTTAACAGGAAATACAAGAAATGAGAACGAGAAGACGGTTGTAGACCGAGGCGTTGTTGACTGTTGTAATGTCGTATCCCTTGAATTTTGCAACGTTTAGTTGGTTTTGCATATCCATTTGTGAATCAATAAGCCTTTTCTTCCTTTACAGCTTTTGACAAAAAACACAATATTAAATTTTTTCCATAATCATAGAATTATTGTCAGCAAAATTTGAGTTTTAAATGTTCAGAGAAACTTTAACGTTAGACCAGACAGTTGAGAGAACAACGTTATTGTTACTGTGAACTTTATTCTTATTGAACCTCCAGGAGTGGCTTACAACATTTACAAATGTTTTATGCAAACATTTATTAAAATTAACACTATAAATACCATTTATTAAAAAGACAAAAATTATATTTAAAACGCAATAAAAAACTAAATCTTGAAAACAGCGCCATATTTTTGGCAATTTCAAAACAACACTGAATTAACTTTAAATCCAATTACTCGAAGAAAAACTAAAATTATGTGTTATGTATGTGTTATGTATAAAAACAGGGATTAGAACAGCAGTTGGCCAATTCTCGTGCCGTAAAACATAATAAAATAAAAATAATAATAATAACAACAATAATAATAATAATAACTTTGATAACAACTTTTTTTTGATCCGAATAACTCTAATGACTAGTTTAATTGATTTACATAATAAGACCTGCCAAACAAACCTCGATCTTTTTCTTTTTCTTTCAAGGTTTTCATTATTTTCAACGCTATTACTATTTTTTATCAGTTTTTCTTTTGACATTATTAATATTAGTTAGATTTTAATAATAAATAAACAAATAAAATAACGCACGTACACACATATACACTATATATATGTAGTTTATATAATCTAATATTGTACACACTATATATATGTAGTATATATAATATATATGTTGTAAATATAATCTAAACAACGAATATTAGAACACGTAATGTGCCTTGTTTTTAAATTAGCAGTTTTCAGCATGCATAAAAAATTAGCATGTTTAACGTCTGAAAATCAAGATGCTTTTAATAATTTACGATAAAGTGTATATATATATATTTATATATATATATATATATATATATATATATATATATTGGTACGAGGTTCTCAGCGATACAAACTTCATTAAATATTTTTGTCCATTTTGCGTTGATTAGTTGATTATATATATATATATATATATATATATATATATATATAAAATATAATATATAAAATATATATATATAATATATATATATAATATATATTTCAAAAATTCAACACTACTTTCAACATTGTTCAACTTTTTTATATTTCTTTTTAATTTATTAATTTCCGAGAAATTAGACATTTTATTGTTTTTTTTTTAAATTTTTATTAAATAAATTTGCAAATAGCTATTTTGAGTTATAAATAACTCATCCTCAGTGCATTATATATAAGGTATGTAAGATATTTGATATAAAGGAACAAGTAATTATTAATTTATATAAATTATTTAATTAAAACAGAAAACCAATAAAGTAAATTTAATAACTATAAACAATATAAAACGCGATTTTTAAAATTTTTAAAAATTTTTAACGGCAAGATCGTTTATATTATGGTTGGTAAGGTAAATATCAACGCTCAGCCGAGAAGCGCGAATTAATTTATTTAATTAACTACATATTATTAATATTATTTTGACAATATTTAAAAACATTAAAATAACCAGAAATGACATTGGTTTTCAAACACAAGTTTATGTAAAAGACACCAATTTGGGATTTTGTCTTAATGGTAAAAGCGAGACCTCAGAACAATATAAAAATAGTGTTATATTTTCTTTAGTTAACAGAGCGTTTCAACATTGCTCTGATTATACACTCATAAACTCAGAATTATTAAGAATAAAAAAACTTCTCGTGAAAAATAATTACTCTTTGAAACAAATTGATCAAGTCATAAATAGATTAACCAAAAAATATCATGAAAATGCACAAAATATACATCAAAATAATGAAATTACCAACAACGTTCCAAACAACAATGAACAGGAAGATAATGACAACCCCTCCACCACGTCTAATAACTTTGATAATAACAGCATCACAAGCCTCACCACAAACAGTAATAAAATAACAACAACAATAACAACAACAGCAACAACAACAGCCGTATCATTAGAAACCAAATCAACAACAAAATGAATGACAAAAATAAGATAGTATTTTACTACAAAAATACCTTTTCAATGGCATATAAAGAAGATGAAAGAATTTTAAAAGGAATAATACGCAGAAACGTAGTAGCGTCAAATCCAATTAATAAAGTTGTACTTCGAATTTACTACCAAAATTTAAAAACATCCCAACTAATCATGAAAAATAATTGCCTGCCTGCAACTACTCAACTACAACAAAGTCATCTAATATATGAATATAAATGCTCCGTCGGTGAATGTTCGCACCGCAACAATGCTTCATATATTGGAATGACAACTACTACATTGTCAAGACGTTTGACCATGCATCTACAAGATGGAGCAATTAAACAACATTATCAACAACAGCATAACACCACTTTAACACGACAAATGTTAAATAACACGCAAATAGTTTATTGCAATAACAACATCACAAACCTGAAAATAGCTGAATTAATTTTCATACAAAACAAAAATCGCTCCATGAACATTCAAGTACAGTCTAACATCATTCTACCTTCAAATAGACTACTAAATAAAAACAACAATCATTATAATTATAACAACAACAATTACGACAACAGCAATAATTATAACAATATTATCACCAACAATATTTTTTTTTTCCGGCATCATGGCGTGTAAACAGAATTTAACGATTAACGAAGTTTTGTGCTATTTATTTAATAATTACGAGTTGTTGAACAACGATATATTTATTAACAATATGTCCGACTTCTATAGCTCGGAAGAAATCTCGGCTGCCCTCAAACAGATCAAACACGACGTCAATCTCCTAAAGATTGATGTTAATTTCGATACACCACGTGGTCCTAAAAAGAAAGACAAAAAAGACAAACTACGCGAGACCATTCGCTATTTAGGGCTAGTCCGCGAAAAAAAATTATCAACAGAGCTTCCTACATACGTTAGCTCTAACTTACGGGTACCTAATAACGACTCTATTCTTAAATTTAACTTCAATGAAATGAAAAACGACATATGCCATATGCTGCACAATCAGCAACTCTATCTATGCAGCATGCTGAACGCAGCCCCTCGAGTTCATAAAAGTGAACTTAATACCAACAACACCGACGTAAACAATGTTAAAAGCTACTCGGTAGCAGCATGACAAAAACACGCCTCGTACAGCTCGGACGCATCATCTTCCAAGATCGTTCATCCAGCTTCGTCCGTAATCAACTCACCACCATCTGATGAAACCTCGAAGCAGGGAACCCAATCGCTGGTGGATCTCAACGTTGAAGCTGCTCCTGCTCATTCTTCACTTTCAACTCCTAACAATAACAATAACATCAATTAAAACAACTCTAATTCCAGTGGCCACGAAGGCTCTTGGAGCACTGTTACTTCAAAAAAAAAAGAAAATACACTCCAATTACTGTAAGTTCCAAACAACCTGGGTCCTTCAAATTATCTGCAGCTCCTTTGCCTCCCAAAAAAATTGTTTTTGGGGTAGGTAAATTGAAAAGCTGCGTCAAAGAAGAGATCCTTGAACATCTGGAAACTATTGGACTGACCGCTGCAGAATGCGTACCAGTCTTTAAATTCTCTCCCACTCGTCCTCATCCTTCAACCAGTGATCCATCAACAAAATTCCGCATAACTATTTTTAAACATCAGGAAATGATTTTTACCAATCCTGAAAATTGGCCTATCGGCGTGGAAATTCACCCCTGGTTGTTTCATGCTCGACCACAGCATTTGATAAAACCCACTACAACTTCACTACCAAATCATTATCCTGTCGACCTACCAAATGTTAATACACCATCGCTGGTCAACTCACATCAGCATGTAGAAAACACAGTTGAGGTAGCTTCCATTTTAACTTCTTCGGGAAGAATCACTCCAGCCAGTCGAGCCAGTCACGATTGGCCCTTCTCAGCTGGTCGAACCACATAAACAACAACAAGCCTCATCGATGATGAGTCCTCCCTCCGATGTCAATTCTGCGACATCAATAAATCACGACAATGGCTGTTAACAATACTTATTCCACAATCAATTCTATCCAACAACATCCTCAACCATCAAACAACGACGAAGATGATCAACACTTTAACGCATACAACACCCACATCGACCCCACAAAGAACCTCCTAGATTCATTCACCAGACAGTCATCCTACTATACCACAAGAGATCTACTCAACATTCTAGAAGCCAAGTACATCAACAATCATGATCACCCTCTACCTCTACTTCACATAAACAGCAGAAGTCTTTTAAATAAAATTTCTGACATTTTAATTTTAAATAAATTTTTATCTTATTTTTTTCCCATTATTATTATTTCAGAGACATGGCTGAATGACGAAACCGCTAAACTAGTTCGTATGAATGATTACAATTTTGTTTTTAAAAATAGGTTTGACAAAATAGGTGGTGGAGTCGGAATCTTCATCAGATCAGGCATTGAATTTTCTATGATAAACAATTTGCTTCTGAACGACACCGTTATTGACCTTCTTGGTGTCAATTTAAAATTAAACAACACACACGTAAATATTTTAGCAGTATATAGACCCCCCAACACTGACCCTAATATCTTAATCCAAAAGCTCGAACTTATTTTACCCACATTCAAGCCACACATAAAGAGCTATTTAATTGGCGACTTTAACCTTGACCTCAATAAACTCAACAGTGACAACGTCGTTGCTGACTTCTCTAACCTACTATCATCATACAACTTCTTACCTCTTATAACCTCCTCTACTCGCATCTCAACTTCTTCTTGCTCACTCATCGACAATATCTTTACTAACAATCTAACTTCTCACTTATCTGGAATAATTCTGTCTGACATATCTGACCATTTCCCTATATTCGCCATCGCTTCCAAATCAGAAATCTCAAACCATGCCCCTATAAAGCACTTCAGAAACCTAACTGAAGAATCTATAAACAACATCAACAATTTCTTATCGAACTACAACTGGAATTCTTTGACTTCTCTAAAAAATGTCAACGACTGCTGCTCTGTTTTGAATACTATCTTAACTCACTCTCTAGACACTTTTGCCCCCCTCCGTCCTGTCAAAAACAAAAAGAAAAAATGCTGGATCATTGACAACATTCTAAGTCTTGCAAAAAAGAAAAACAAACTATACATCATAAGCCTTAAATATCCAACCACCCGCAACATTGCCACTTACAAATGCTTCAGAAACATGTTCACATCTATTAAACGAAAAACTGAACGAGACTACTTCTCTAACAAACTTGAAGACGCATATAACAATGTTGGACAAAAATGGAACACTATCAAAGAAATTCTAAACAAGCAACCTCCTAACTCATCAATCACCAAACTAACTATCAACAACCAAACAATTGAAAATAAACAAGAAATATGTGACCTTCTCAACACCCACTTTGCAAACATCGCTAGTCAACTACTCTCAAACCAACCTCCCTGCTATGGTAATCCTACAGATTTTATGAGCCCATCCACACCCCATTCCATTTGTCTATATCCTGTTACTGAACAAGAAATATTAACTACTGTTAATATCTTGAAAAACAAAAAGAGCTATGCAGACGATGGACTCAACATTTTCCTTATCAAAAGCATAATTTTCTCTATCATATCACCACTTAATCATATCTTCAACTTATCACTAAGCACTGGAATCTTTCCTGACTCATTTAAAATAGCCAAAATCATACCAGTATTCAAGAAAGGAAACAAAAATGACATTAACAACTACAGACCCATCTCCATTCTTTCCTCGCTGTCAAAAATTCTTGAAAAACTTTTCTTTAAAAGACTCTCTAATTTCTTCTGCTCCAATAATACTATCTGCAATAACCAATACGGATTCAGACCCAACCACTCAACTGAGCTTGCTATTCTTGACTTCACTCAGCACATACTAAATGAAATGAATAACAAAAATCTTTCTATTGGCATTTTCCTGGACTTATCCAAAGCCTTCGATGTCATCGATCACAAAATACTCCTATCCAAACTACATCATTACGGATTAAGAGGCACAGCTCACAATTGGATGAGAAGCTATCTTTCATCACGGACACAATATGTTTCCATGGACAACATCAATTCAAAGCACGCTCTTATTCATCACGGGGTGCCACAAGGATCCATACTAGGACCCCTTCTATTTTCTATTTACATAAATGACCTCTGCAATGTTTCACCCTCAACCAAATGCGTACTGTTTGCAGACGACACCAACCTTCTTTTTACTTCCAACAACCTACCAGATTGCTCTGAACATATCAATCTTGAACTCCAAAAATACTCTAACTGGTTATCCAACAGCAAACTAATCATAAATTATTCGAAATGTGCATACATTATTTTTGGCCCAAAAATACTCACCAACCAAGCTCCTAACCTAAACCTATTAGTTAATGGTGTTCCTATAAGCCGCACTCTGTCTACCAAATTTCTTGGAATCACCATCACAGAAAATCTTTCATGGAATTCTCACCTACAAACTACCTCAGACAAAATCAACAAACTCACAGGCATCTTCTACAAAATCAAATATAAACTCTCTCTTTCTGCTCTTCGCATGCTTTATTACACATTCATCTACCCTTATCTAACCTACTGCATCACACTATGGGGAAATAGTCCAAAAAGCCACCTGAATAACCTAATACTTTCCCAAAAAAGATCAATACGTTTAATTTTTAACCTCAAACCCGATTCTCATACTAAACCCTTCTTTCTAGCAAAAAAAATTTTACCAGTTAACTTCATCTGTCTTTACTAATCTGCTTTATTCGTTTTTAAATTTATCAACAATCTTCTCCCACCTCACTTTATCAACTTCTACACATTAAGTAACTCCGTTCAATCTACAACCACTAGACACACCCCTCTCTTCTATATCTACAAAACTCGCCTCAAATTAATCCAGACAAGCATAAATATAACAGGTCCTAAAATTTGGACAGAACTTGTACCTCCCCATCTAAGAGCCATCATAAACCTACAACATTTCAAGTCAAAATTCCGTGCTTTTTTATTAACACTGGATCTCGACTCCACCACCTAATATTATATTAAGAATACGCTAGAACAAATGATGCGGATGAATGGTCTTTATAAATAGTTAAACATTTATGTGTTTATATATGTACTGAGCGAACATTTACATAGTTATATGTCTATATATGTATGACACGAACATTTACTTATTTATCTTCAATTATCTTTCTGCTTCAGTTATTTTCCTTACTTTATTTCATTAACTATTCATGTATCTACCAGCGGTGGCCACCACAAGACAAACAGTCTTATTCGGTCTCCGCATATTCAACTTCATAACTTTTATTCACTTATTTGATATGTTGTTGATTATGAATAAAACTTTGAAAAAAAAAATATTGATGATGTAAACAACAATCATACTAATAGTGACAACTTCAACAACAACATCAACAACACCAACAACAACATCAACAATAACATCAACAATAACAACAACAACAGTGCCAACACTGTAGATACCAATGCTACAACCCACAGCGCAAATATCAGTTGCAATTGGAACATCATCAATAGTGACAACCCTAACAACAACATCAACAACACCAACAACAACATCAACAACACCAACAACAGCATGAACAATAATAACAACAACAGTGCCAACAATGTAGATACCAACGCCACAACCCACAGCGCAAATATCACTTGCAAATGGAACATCATCACAAGAAGCAAGAAGAACCACAGCGATGATAATAATAATAATAACGTTAACAATAATAATAATGTTTTTAAATATTGTCAAAATAATATTAATAATATGTAGTTAATTAAATAAATTAATTCGCGCTTCTCGGCTGAGCGTTGATATTTACCTTAACAACCATAATATAAACGATCTTGCCGTTAAAAATTTTTAAAAATTTTAAAAATCGCGTTTTATATTGTTTATAGTTATTAAATTTACTTTATTGGTTTTCTGTTTTAATTAAATAATTTATATAAATTAATAATTACTTGTTCCTTTATATCAAATATCTTACATACCTTATATATAATGCACTGAAGATGAGTTATTTATAACTCGAAATAGCTATTTGCAAATTTATTTAATAAAAATTTTAAAAAAAACAATAAAATGTCTAATTTCTCGGAAATTAATAAATTAAAAAGAAATATGAAAAAGTTGAACAATGTTGAAAGTAGTGTTGAATTTTTGAAATGTTGCGTTAACAATAGTCTGTTACCAAAATATAATATATATATATATATATATATATAATATATCGAGTAAATGTCTATATATATATTTCTACTTGGAAACGTATTCATGTAATATACGAGTTCAAATGAGCAGAACAACATTCGTATATTGGCGTTACGACCACTTCACAATCAAGACGTCTCACAATGCTTACACAAAGAGTAGCCACCAAATCTCACTTACATTTATCACATGCAACTTTAATAACCCGTTAAATTCTTGACAACAATACAAAAATAATTTATCAAAACACCAGCAGAGCACATCTAAAAATCAGAATCCTAATAGATCTCACAAAATTACAACTAAAATCTACCAACAAAGAATGATTACTTTACTAGAAAACTCGACGCCTTAATTTTAATGACAACAGGAAAAAGTAACATCAACCAAGAAGGTGAAGAAAAATAATTCAACTACCTTTCCTTTGTCTAAAAAGCTATTAATATACAAATCAAAGCTGCATTGAAGATGACTCGTGAAAATCCGAAATAGGCCTATCTGCAGGATGAATTTGAATAATAATTCTATATTTAATAAATTAATCATTTTCTAAAAAACTGTAGTAAAAAACTGAAAAGACAAACTTTAAATTGATTAATGCCGACAATATATATATATATATATATATATATATATATTACGGAAATTTATATACAGCGCTTTTTTATTGTTGAATCTCAAAAGCGCTACTAAATCATAGACAAATAAGACGGACATTCATGTGCAAATAAATAAGTTTTAAGTTGACTTCGAAATTGTAAATATGATAGGTTAGGGTGACGTAAGTAAGAAGGTAAACCATTCCAAACAACCGGGCCAAGAACTGCAAAGTTGCGGGAACCCGTCACCAACTTTGTGGTTGAGATAAAAAATAAATTGCGCTCGGTTGATCGGAAGGAATATTTTGAAAAATGAGATTTGTATGATTCCAATCTATCGATGGAATAGGGAGGTGCTGTATTATTGACACATTTAAACATCAAAACTGCCAACTTGAAGGAAACACGTTTTTCAACCCTCAACCAGTGCAACCTATTCAAAATAGGTGTGATGGAACCACGAACCACCCAAAACCAGCTTGGCCGCACGATTCTGTATTGACTGAAGCTTTGAAAAAGACCTTTTGGTGACACCATAAAAAAGGCCATTGCAGTAGTCCTGTCTGGAAAAGACAAAAGAGGAAACCAAGCTTTGAAGAACAGACGTGTTTAGTGATTTTTTGACATTGCGTAATAAACGGAGTTGGTTGGAGCAGACCCTCACTAAATTATTAATATGTAAATCCATCGTTAGGTTTGAGTCAATTATAACTCCAAGACTACGGACAGATGTGGAAAATTCAATGATGTCATTGCCGACACTGATGATGAAATTTTGACCTTCGATAGCTGCTGCCAAGAACCAACCGGTAATATTTGTGTTTTAGATTGATTTAACTTTAAATGATTCATACTCATCCAAGATCCAATTTCGATGAGACAATCAGTCAGTTCATTCAGAGAAGCATCAATCGAATCAACAGGACAAGAAACTAATAACTGAATATCATCAACAAAGGCGTGGGAGCTGAACTCATATTTTTGAATAATATCAAAAACATCAGCAGTGTACATAAGAAACAACAGAGGTCCCAACACAGATCCCTGGGGAACACCAAACGATAGTTGTTTATGTCAGAGAGGGTGTTGTTGTAAGAAACCTGCTGGGTGCGGCCTAAAAGATAGGAAGCGAACCACGATAAGACTGAATCAGAGAAAAAAAAATTGTGGAGAGTTTATACATGAGACGAGTATGATCGACACAATCAAATGCAGCACTCATATCAAGTAATGCCAAAAAAGAAACGCATTGACTGTCAACTGAAGAGAACAGATGGGAGAAAATATCAATGAGTGCAAAAATATTGACGATAGCCGGATTGATTCTTTGGCAACAAATTGTTTTTGTTTAAATGCTGTAACAATTGTTTGATAACAACTCGTTCAATGACTTTAGAAATGAATGAAAGATTAGAGATAGGACGGTAATTTGATAAAACGTTGTCGTCCAACTTTGATTTTTTTAGAAGTGGGGTTACAATAGCATGTTTCAAAGGGTTGGAAAAACTGCTAATTGATAAACATTGGTTGACAAAAAATGTCAAAAATGGCAAAAAAAAGATCTATAAATTTTTTAAATATGTATGTTGGAATCAGATCAAGAGAACAAGAACTGCCAGGGGAGTCACAAACTATTTTACGCAATTCATCTGGCGTGCACATTTGAAAATTGGAAAGATTAACAATTGCTTCAGGTAAGACAACCCTGGAGACATATTCAAACTGTATTGGTTTGTTAGTATTTTCTATAGTCGTGCTACGAATATTATTGATTTTATTGATAAAAAATGTCATAAAATCATTGGGGGAGAAATCATTTGATTGGTTATTATTGTGATTTTTAGATAAAATTTTGTCGAGGATATTCCACAATTTTTTGGTTGTTTTTTAAACGAATCAACTTGATTTGACCAAAATTTGTTTCTTTTTTGGGAAAATTTTTGTATTTTTTCTTTTAACGCTAAGCGCCATGCATTTTGATTAATATCATTTTTCATTTTCCTATACAATCTATTTTAGTTGGCAAATCATCCAGTGAGCACGACTTTGTAGGTGAATCTAAAATATCTTGACGAATCTCATCACTAGAACAGGACTGAAATAATGAAACTTCAGCACATTCACTTTCACGATTATTTGAAACAATAGGTTCTTTGATACCAGGCATCGTCTCTAGTATGTTGTCAAGCTTATCTTAAAAAAATTGTGCAAAATCATTAGAATTTAACTCATCTGACAAATTAAGCAAATCAACAGAATTCATCTTGCATAAAACCCTGTTAATTGTCATCCAGAGTTTCTTTGGATTGGAGCCATTTATTTCAATCATATTTCTCCAATAGGCTTTCCTTTTTTCTGAGAGCAATGACTGTTTCTTCAACATGGCATCAACGAACCTTTTTTTGCTAACATTTCCAGAATTAAGTCGATAAGCTCTTTTAAGTCTTCTGCAGCGTAGCTTAGTCTGCCTACACTCTTCATCAAACCAAAGCGAGGCAGCATTATTTCTAGTCATCACATAGTGTTTCGGTGCAACAATATCTATAATATTTTTAACTTCTTTTTTGTAAAGATCAAATAAGTATTCAGGATCATCTGATTTAAAAGGTCCATTAATAGGCGAGTTTATTATTAACGCGGAAAATTTATCAAAGTCCACACAATTCCATGAACGAACCAGTCTTTTTTTTTGTAACAAAATAATTTAGTGGAATCGAAAAACATACTTGGACCAGACCATGATCTGAATAAATATCATATGAACCTACGGTACCTGAGGACACAGGCAATTCCATTGAGGATACCACTAGATCCAAGATACCACCATGTACATGGGTAGTTTCCTTAACTCTATTTTCAAGGTTAAATGCATGAAAAACATCTACCAACCGAATTGAATGAGTATCTCCAACCTTTTCCAAATGAACATTCAAATCCCCCGTAAGAATGACATAGTCCGCCAATAACGAAATCTGCTCCAAGAGTAATGTAAGCTCATCAAAAAATGCAGGAGTAATTGGTACAGAACCCGGTCGATAAACTGCCAATAACAGAATCGTTCTTTTACCGCACCGAAATTTAATAGCAAGTGATTCAAAGGAATTTACCACTGGTAATTCTTTTTTTATAACCTTGAAAACATTCTTAAAATATAAAATTATTACTCTATGATTGGGGTCGTGTGGGCGCAAATAATCCATAAATGAGAAGCCATAAGGCATAGCCAATTTCACAGAGATATCATCAGATGATCCATGCCACGTTTCGGTCAATACACATATATCTAAATCATTTGATAGCAAATCATGAATTATATCATATTTTGACCGAATGGATCTAATATTAAGCAATCCCAAATTTAATCCGGTTTGGTAGCAGACCTTGGATATCTCACTATTCTCCATTGCCCGACGACACCTCTGACCCGATATAAAAAATGACCATCCTTTTCTTCCCGCGTTTTTGCCTCAAGAACCAATTTTTTAAGCTGCAGACGCTGGTCCGTTGTAAGGTCATCACTAATCCTCACTTCCCTCATTTTTTCATTTAGCAGCGCTAATCTGAACAATCTTCTCATAACCAGGACTTTTGCAGAAAGGTTGATAAACTTAACAACCACTGGACGCGGGGGAGACGATACGCTTGGCTTTTTACCTTGCTTAAATATTTTCAATATGTCATCATCTTTCAGAGACTCGTCTGCAAGGAACCTTAAAAAGCCAAGAACATTGCCCCTATCTTTAGCAACATCCAAGTCTTTTCTGAAATTAAAAAAAACTATGTTGTTCTCACGGGCCTTAACTTCATTTGCCACGTCAATTGTGCTGCGAACCGTGATGACCTCTTTACTAACTACGTCGAGGTCCTTTGAGGTATATATATGTATGTATATATGAGGTCGAGGTATATATATGTTCAACGTTGAAAGAGAAATTTCACGATGTTCCGATCTCTTCTTCTCATCGCTGTCCTCGCCGTGTTTGCTCTTGCGGGTATGTTTGTCTTTCTTTGTATTTTATAAGGCAACTTTAAATAATTTATTGTTTTATACTTATTCATAAATATGTGATCTATAAACCGATTGGTCGTTTATTTAACAAATCTAGCAATTGAACTGTGGTCTTCCAATATTTTGACTACATACAAAAAATACTTAACTACCACACTCTTATATATATTTTCTGCTCTCAAAAATGTTTTTGACTCTTCTTTCCGCTACCATATTTCTGCTTGTTAACATTCGGCAGGTTTCTGCATGTAAAAACTGTTAAACGTAGTTCTATTATTTTCAACTTTGTTTCGGTAGATACATAACCATTTGATGAAAATATCAACATTGCAAACCTTCCCAGTAATATTTCATACATAATTTTTGAAAACACGTCTGGTCGAAACATTTTAATTTTATGAAAATTTTTAAAACTCACTCTATCATTTAAAGTTTTGTCAGATTATATCCTAGTGAGCGCTGAATCTGACGACCATGCTACTCAAGGGATCTCCAAACGTGATTGCCCATCTTTCTTTCTTTGTGACAGATGATCATTGTTCATGTCAAGTGTTATCTGTCAATCAACTAAAAGAATAACGGATGCAACGAAGAAAATTTTTTATTTGAAAAAATTTGAAATTTTAATTTCAATTTTTAACTTAATATTTGATGTTTGAAAAAAAGCTCCAAAAAAATGTTTTGAGTTGATCTAAAAAAATACTATAGAAATAAAAATAAATTTAGATTAAAAAAAATTGAACTCTGATCTAGTTTATAACAAGAGCTAGGTAAAAGGATGCCTCAAGGTCTACAAAAAATGGGGTAGCCACTAAAAAGATAATGTAACTATACACAATTCATGGTTATGCTGGCGACCGTGTTATCTCTGCGGTTTTTGCACAATTACCATCAGAAACTTGTTTGGAAAACTTGAAATTTGGTATGAGCATATTGTGCACTAATCTATGTGCGTCAACAAACCAACTTCTTACTAAATTATCTGGTTTATAGTAAAATCGTCACCTATGACCGAAGTTACGTGTTGCAAAATAAAGAAAAGTGCCAGAGCAGATAAAAGAAGATGGATAAACGATAGATGCGAAAGGGTAAAAGCACTAGTTGGACAAAACAAAACAAGAGAGGCGTATCAGCTAGTCAGACAGTTAAAAGGAAAACTGATGAATACGTTAAAGATCATTAAAGACAAGGATGGAAATTTTCTAATTGAAAGCCAACAAATCAAAGATAGATGGTCGGAATATATCAAGGACCTGTTCACAGATAAAAACACGTATACAAAGGAGATGTTACAGGCTTTAAAAGAAAGAAAAGTAGTCAATGAGGAAGAAACGGAAATAACATTGGAGGAAGTAATAAAAGCAATGAAGAAAATGAGGAACAACAAGAGCACAGGGAGAGACGGAATTCACATAGAGCTGATCAAAGCGGGAGGACCAATTGTATGTAATCAGATTCACAAAATCTGCCAAAAAATCTGGGACAGTGGAAAATGGCCAGAAGATTGGTGTAAATCAATCTTGATCATGTTGCCAAAAAAAGGAGACCTGAAAAACTGCAACAACTACAGATCAATAGCACTGATCCTTCATATGTGCAAGATCATGCTGACGATCTTGAAAGAACGATTGGAGAAAGACATAGAGCAGCATTTAGGAGAGGAGCAGGCAGGTTTCAGAAAGGACAAAAGTACAGTCCAGCAAATCCTGATGTTGAGACTGTTGTTGGAAGATGCAGGAAGCAGAGGTCAAACAACTTTTCATTGTTTTGTGGATTTTAAGAAGGCGTTTGATTCAGTCTGGCACGAAGGTTTGTGGGCAGCTTTTGAAAGTATGGGAGTGTCAACAAAAATGGTAAGGGTGCTGAAAGGGCTTTATGAGGAGTCAACAATGGCGGTAAAGGTAGGTACAGAACTGGGAGACTGGATCAAAGCGAGCATAGGAAGTAGACAAGAAGATCCAATATCACCATTACTGTTCTTAGCACTGTTGGAAAGAGCCTTGGAAAAAATGGAAAATGCAGATATTGAGGGAATCGACATTGGAGGCAGAGTGATAAGGGACCTCAGGTTTGCAGATGATATAGATCTGCTAGCATCTAGTGCAGAGGGTCTACAGAAACTGATCGAGTTGACGTACGATGGTGGAAGAAACCCTGGACTACACATCAACAGCAGTAAGACAAAGATAATGATTTCGGAAGCAGGTAGAAACAATGATGAATTCCAGATAGGAGCAGAAAAGCTCGAACAAGTAAACCAATTTATATATCTGGGCAGCCTCATAACTGATGACAATAATTGTTCGAAAGAAATTGATAGAAGAATAGCAATCGCGAGAGGAATGTTTGCATCTTTGAAAGTAATATTGAAAAACGATAATGTATCTACAAAAACAAAGATAAAGATCGTAGAAGCGTGTGTGTTTTCTACATTGATGTATGCATGTGAGGCTTGGACGTTGAAGAAAAGAGACAAAGACAAACTGGAAGCATTTGAGATGCATTGTTATAGAAAGTTGCTGGGAATCAGTTGGAGACAAAAGATAAGAAACGATGCCATAAGAAAACAACTTGGAAGACAAAAAACTGTGTATGAAAGTGTCAAGAAAAGAAAGCTGGGTATCTTTGGGCACATCTGCAGAATGACAGACGACAGACTGATCAAAAAAGTACTGATGAGAAAGAGGGACTGGAAGAAAAAAGTTGGAAGACCTGTGAGGAAGTGGATGGATGATATCACGGAATAGACGGGGGTTGAAACATTGAGCTCAATAAAGATGGCGAGAGAAAGAAAAGGATTTTGGAGAGATAGAAAAATACCATCGGCTTCAACGGTCCCTTAAGGGATTACAGAAGATCATTGAAATGAAAAAAAAAAATCTATGCTCATTGGCATAGTTTTGCACGCGTACTAAAGTCACACAATTTGTTTCCAGTGTTGTTCTGACTCTTGTTGTTTAGTGTTGGTTGTGCGAAAGCCAACCAGACTCGACGGCCCAGTGAAAACAGGCCAGGGTTGTGCGAAAGCCGACCGACTGATTGACAGGCCCAGTGAAACAGGCCCTTGGATTCTGTGAAAACGAATCCGCCTCGTTCTTTTGTTTTTGTTGTGCTATTTGTGGACCTAGGGTTCTTTGCTGGATTCTATACTCATTGATATAGTTTCGCACGCAGCTTGGAATTTCCATAGGCTCCGATTTTTGTAATTTTTCTGCATTCATTTTATTTATCTCTCGGAGTTGTATCGACACCACCATCGGTCACACACGTCGAGGTTGTACGATTGAACGGCAAGAAACATATCCCAAGTTGCCCGACCCAACAAGAAGAAGTTCTAATTCCTGTATTACAGTTTGTTCATTGACATTACTTTTTACATTATTCTAGAGTTCAGTTAGTTCAATTCCTTTTAATTTACTTCCGTTGATTAATAAAATTGTTATCGAATATTTTACGCGTTCGTGTGTTACTCAGTAAAATCATATAATTCGAAAAAGCCCAGTGCCACACAGGACTGGTCGAACTCACGATAAAAATATACCAAAAAATTATAAATATACCATAAAAAATTTCCCTGAGAAAGATAGAGGAAGAGATTACCTCACTTCCAGTTCAAATTTCCGACAATATATATATATATATATATATATATATATATATATATATATATATATGTGTACGGTTGAAGATTACACCCCATTTTGCAGTTAGAAGTTTTTTAAATAAAATTTCAACAACACGAAGCTGTTTTGTTTCAACTTTATTAAACTGTGAAGTTTGGCTGACGGCCGTTTCAGCTAATGCCATCGTCGGAGCCTAGATTGTAAAACCAAATGAGGAGTTAATAATATAAATTATAAGAAATAGAAAATAGAATATTAGATATTAAAATGAATAAATAAATGAATAACAACCTATATTTTAAAATTAACTCATTATATTGTTGAAAATAAAATAAACGTACATTTATTTGCACCATGTGCTTCGTGTTGTTGAAATTTTATTTAAAAAACTTCTAACTGCAAAATGGGGTGTAATCTTCAACCGTATATGTTTATCTGAGAACCTCATACCAAATTATATATATATATATATATATATATATATATATATATGTGTGTGTGTGTGTGTATATATATATATATATATATATATATATATTGTTATATTTATTTTAATAAACCAACTACACGCATCTCAAAATTGCAGAAGCAGTCCTAATTGACATCAATAAACTAAAAATAAATATACAACAAAAAATGACAACCTCACTCCCAAACCCGGCGATTAATCAACAATGAAAACTAAGAAGAAATAAGAATTAGCATTGTAAATAGTGGCAAAAAAGAATATAATGCTATCGATAAAGAAAAGGAAACCAATGAAGATGGACCAGTCAATAAAGAAATCTGACACCTAATTTCCATCTAAGTTTAGTTTGACAAAATGAATATTTCCGTATATAAACTAAATTGCACTGATGATGATTCATTCGGAATCGAAATATGGCCTTATTTGCAGCATGAATTCGGAAAATAAGTTTATTTTGAATTTTAATAAACTAAACGTTTACCAAAAAATTTTAGTGAGAAAAATCAAAAAAACGAACTACAAACATATTAACGCCAACCATTCGGTAGAATTTATAGAATATTGTCGGCCGTTTTTCAATTTCTCCGTTTTTTTGTGATTTCTAATATATTTTTTGGTAATATATTGTTAATTTTGGATACATTTTATAGCTTAAACTAAGAGGAGTATTTTGGTATTTTTAAATTATCGAATACATTGGTGTTCGATAATTAAATTAATTAGTTATTTCGATTTTTAATTATATTGAAAAATAGTTGTGCTGACAAGTTTGTCATAAGTTGATGGGAGTGTTTAATATAGCATACAGTTGTTAACGCTGTATGTTATGAGTTATTTGGTATGGCGTCTAACACAATGTTAGATTGTGCTGAAAGAACAATAGTGATTAACGACTTACTATTTTTTTAATAAATAAAATTGATAATGTTGACAATAATTTATTATTGGAAAAATGTTCCTGCTACTATTCTGCAAATTTCATTAATGAAACCAAAAAACGTATTATGGGAGATTCAGTAAAGTTTCTGAAATCAAGGTTAAAAAAGAGTACTAAACTACCAGGTTCCAAATAAATCCTAAAATTGACCTAGAAGAAATTTTCATCTTGTTGAAGCTAGCAAAAGATAAAAAAAAATATTGAAAAGCTGCCACTATACCTTGCAGATAGCTTTAATTTTCCAGATATCACTGAAACAAGTAACGATGGCCAGCAGGTGTTGAATAACAAAATAAACATCATTGCAAATAAGTTTAATTTTTTGAAACTAAAATTCTTCATTTAGTTCTGTTGAAAAACTTTTACTTGCTGTCAAGCCATCTGATGCAGCTTTACGTAATGACCAACTTTCGGCTACAGAGAAGAAAATTGATTCCTTGACCAGCTGTGTTGACAATCTTTCAGCAAAAATTGACATTAGTGGTAAATTTTTGCAACAACCACTTCCACAACAACAGCTAGTGCCTAAAAACTCCCAACCTCTTTTTTCAGATTTGGCCTATAGCCGGAGATGGGTTTTCATTGGTACAACGTAAAAATAAACAGCAGCGAACGTTGACTCATGAAATCAAAGATGTCAATGGAGATGTACTTGGAGTTGAAGTTACAACCAGCAAGACAACCACAAACTCATTGTATCTAAAAAATTCCACCAAGTTGTTGGTAACAAGACTGAATCTGTAAAACTTAAGGCAAAAAAGATTCCGAGTTTCCGGTTATATATTGGTAACCCTTTTTGATTGCACGAGTGCTGATGTGATCGATGAGCTAAAAGCTAATCAAATTAATGTTATCTCTTGTTATTCTATACAAAAAAAGAAACCAGATGATAATTCTGAATTGAAAGACAATGTCCTGGCAAATGCATTTAGAATATGTATTGATAAGCAAGATCTTGTGAAAATAAGAGATCCTAATATCTGGCCTTCAGGTGTTATCATCAGAGATTGGATATTCAACAAACATCCCAATCAAATCAAAGAGCACACTATGGAGTCATCCAACAACAAAAACATCAACAAAGAATAGTCGACAGTGAATGTAGATAATCATGAAAAAACATCTACCAACGATGGCGGCACATAGTGATTTATATCTAGACATGGTTTTCTCTGTGAACACTGTAATGGACAATGCGTTGAGGTCACCCAACATCATCAATGTTTCAGAGATAAAAGATACGCTTTCTTCCAATAGCAAACTCCGTCAACTTGATGACGTTGATCGGCTTGATCCTGATATTAATGTTTTCAATGGTATTTCTCTTGACTGTTATTCAATTTTACCTGAGAATGTAAGCACGTTTGTTGATACATGTAATTTTAATTTTTTTCAAGTTAACTGTCGCAGTCTACTTAATAAGTTTACTGAATTTAATATACTTATTAATTCATGTGGTTGTAGATTTGATTTGATGACTGTTTCCGAAACATGGTTAACTTCTGTTACGGCTGATTTGGTTAGCTTGCCTGGATATAATTTTGTGTGCAGGAATCGTATTGGTAATGTTGGCGGTAGTGTTGGTTTGTTTGTTAAAAATAGGTTAAAGTATGTGACTCGTGATGATTTGTCGTACCATTCGTCTATTTTGAATCGATGCTAGTTGAAGTATTTGTAAACAATAACACTAAGTTTTTGATTATTGTCTTATACCGTCCTCCAAGTACTGATATTATTTTGTTTTTAAATGATTTAACTTTACTATTTATGAATATTAAATCCGGTGCATTTAAAAATGCCTACATTACTGGAGACTTTAACATAAATGTACTCGGTGATGACTATAGACATAACTCTACTTAATCTACTCAATTCTTTCGGTTTTATTTCATTAATTTCAACTGCCACACGTATTACTGTTACTAATAAATCTTTACTTGACAACATTTTCACTAATAACATTACAAATCATAAGTCTAGTATTATATTTTCTTCTTTTTCTGATAATTTTTCTATTTTTACTTCATTTATTATTCCTAGTCTCGTTTTGCCTAATTCCACTGTTCTATCTTTAAAATATTCTGATTCAAATATTTCTAAATTGAATTTGTATCTCATAAACTATGATTGGAGTAGTATCCTGAATTGTTGTGATACGGATTTGGCATTTAAATTATTTTCAGATGTTATTAAAAATGCAATTATTATTAACTGTAAAGAATACCGTAACAAAACTAATATAAAAAAACCTGGATTACTAAGGCTCTGGTTATATCCTCCATAACTAAAAACAAATTATATAAAACATTCTTAAATTCCAGGTCTGTATTTGATAAATTATCTTATGGTAAATATAAAAATATGTTTTCAAGGTTATGTAAACTATCTGAAAATATTTATTATAATAACCAATTCATAAATGTAAATCTAACGGTAGACGTACCTGGAGTATACTGAAATCTTGTCTAGGACTTAAACATCCAACACCACTAAATATTATGATTAATAATAATTTTATCATGGACGATGCATTACTGTGTAATCATTTTAATAGTTATTTTTGTCAACGAATAATGTTAATAATTCTACTCATTTTTCTGTTATTGATTCCGGTTATAAAAAATATGTTCATGGGGTTTTTGATACATTTGTTCTGCTTGAATGCCTTCCGTTTGAAATTATTGATGTCGTTAAAAATTTTAAAAATTCTATTAGCTTTGGTAATGATTTCATATCTAATTTTGTATTAAAAAATAATATTCATAGCATAATCTTACCGTTGCTTCATATAATCAATCTATCTTTTAAAAATGGTCTTTTTCTTAAATTTCCAAAGTTTTGCCATTATTTAAATCTTGTTTTTATTTAGTAAACCATTTATTATTTTCAAAGTTTTTTTTATGTTATTATGGCAAGCTTTAAATTCATTTTTTAAAATAAAGATTGTCTTTTGACTTTTAGAAAATTGTTTCTATGAATTAAATGATATTGCTTATTAATATCAGGTGGATTTTTAAAAAATTTTTTGTAAAGATCATTTTCAAGTTTAGACAATTTCAGTAGCTTATTTGTGAACCATGGGTTTTTTTTTAATTTTTTTTTCAGTGACTTTAGTTTTAAGACAGAATTTAGAAATGGTGGAGATAACATATTTCAGAAAAATGTTAATAGCAATATTGATGTAAGCTGAAGCAAAGACAGCCAACCAATAAAGGGCCAACAACTGGTTATTAACTTTTTCAAGGTTTCGCCTAGAAAAACATAACTTATCTACCACCTCAACCTCAACATCTGATACTTTTTCTTCAGCTATTGTAAATATAGGCAGGTGGTCCGATATATCACTGAAAATGATTCCAGAGACATGGGATACTGTATTGTTTGTATATATGTTGTCAATGAGAGACGTATTATGGTCGGTAATTCTAGTGGCTTTAGAAATCAATGGACAATAATGCAATGAATATAAGCTATTTGAAAAATACGAAAAAGAATTATTATTGTCAGACCCAATTAAGTTTATTGTAAACTTTGTAAATTATCTTTGATAGTGACTGAATCATATGTTATAATTTGTACATTTATGTTTTATATTTAAATACAGGGTTCCATTAAAATTGGAATTGTTTTTGAAAACAGTAATTCTTACAATGTTAATGTAATAAAAAAATGTGATTAAACATGGAGAGGGATGGGGGGGGGGCTCCAATTTTATAGTTTGTCCTCGAACGAAAAATACCCTAGCTACGCCTCTGATTTACGTTGCATTAAGACTGCCAGGAATGCATTTATTGATGAAAATAACAACATGTTCGGCGTTAGTTAACATTCAATTTAACTTTTCAATTTTTTTAAGGGTTGATCGTAAATCATTTTCAAGAACACAACATATAAATTTGAACACCGAAGATGGTGTAGGAATACCGAAAAAAGCTTTTCTGTTCTATCATGCATAAAATAAACAAAAAGTTTTGTTTTTTTTTGGTTGTTATAATTTTTTACGTGATAATTTTTTTGCAGCTCCGACCACAAAATTTTCATTGAACTTTCATTGAAAATTTTAATGTATCATTTTTTAATTAGCTTTCGCAAAGACGGAAAAAAGTATTTGGCAAAATTCAATATTATTTATTCATTTATTAAACCAAACAAAACTGTTACAAAAGCTAAATAATCAAGTTTTATCAAATTTTACATTTTCAAATTTTGACTGACATTTATGCAATTGAACAGTTCATTTTTCTTAGTAAGTAGTTCGTTCAATAAATCTTTCTGCATGCAAATTAATTATCAAATTAATTAATCAGTTAATTAATTGATTGATTGATTGAATAAATAATTAATTAATGTAGGTTAAATGTTTTTTACTTCAATGCCAAGTGACAATTCGTTTAAAACTTCTTCGACATATTGTATTATTTCTTTTGAACAAACATGAATCTCATCTGAATGACATGATTTTGCATTTTCCTCTTTTAAGTCGACAACTTCAGACTTCTGAAACTACAAAACGATTTTTAAAAATATTAAAAAACACTTGAAGCTTAGTCAACATATAGAATTTATTTCTATCCACAAATTTTAATAAAATAAAATTATACGTATAAAATCACAGATATTTATACAAGTGATAGAATTTTTTTAAATCATGTTAAGTTGTCTTTTCCAATCAATTCCTACATAAAAAATGTATATACCGTAAGAATAAATTTCTTAGCTAAATTAATAAATTTTGATCAAAGAGGTTGCGTCAAAAACAAGTGGAGTCCTTTTAAAATAGCTTTTTTTTATTAAGAAACTGAAAAAATTTTGAAATTTTGGAAAGCCTACTAGCTTGCACTAACTACTTAACATAGTTCATCAATCCAATCGTCATCAGCTATTTCATAATCCTACATTCTAAAGTTTTTCAAATGGATGTCAAAAATTTGTCAATAATTTTTAAATAAATAAGTAATAACTAACGAATCAACTGATTATTGAAAATGTTAAAAGCCTAAACTTTTCTAAAATTCAGAGATATCAAAAATACCTAAACGACGCATTGTACTTAAAGCATGTAAAAGGCTAGAAAGGATCCAATCTCGTAATTGAACCCAGTCATTGAACGCCCTGCAAAACAGGAGCAGGTGCCTTTAACCATTTAGACATCATGCCGTCCAAAATATTTGCTTCGGAACTTTAAACTTTTAGTATAATAAAACTTAGAAAAAACCGTTTCAAACGTTTTCGATCATCGGAATAGATGGTAAAAATATTAATTCGCAATGTCGATATCGGTATTAATAAGGAAATCCATTAGGAGTTAGGAATTTTTTAATATTGGTTTGGAAAAGCCTATCTAAAACGCTAAACAGCATAACTGGGTCAACTGAACATTTCCGATCAGTTTAATATTAAAGTATGTAGCAACGAATGCAGGATACAACTGAATGTAAATAAAAACGATGTTAATTCATTCTGGATTTTTACGTTAATGAAACTTATCTAATAACACGAAATTAATTATTTTCGAAGTTACAAGGAGCACCGGGTCATTTAGTTTTCATCATCTGCCATTAATGCCTTCCATTTTCTGTTAAAATAAGCCTATACAATAATAACAGTTAATTAAAACTGTAAAGTTCGAAATCAATTCATTCGAGCTTGAATTTTATAAAATAAAAAAAATTTGAAAAAAAAGCTGAAATTTATTTTCAGTGTACCAAATTAAATGAAGAACATTAAAAAATAACTTTAGGCCAAATAAATTTTATAATGAAATGAACACAATGAGTATAGATAAAATGAAAACATGTTGAAATAAAGAATGTTTTACGAAATAAAACAAATAAAAAAAAATTGTATGACAATGAAAAATCTAAAATGAAAAATTGTAGACAAAACAGATTAGACGACGGAAATTTAAATGAATCGATCGGTTTCCTTGTTCTCATGTACTTACCATCTGCAAAGTCTCATGGCTCTTTCTCGGAATTAGTGTAATGGTTAAAGGAGTTATGGTTTTAAGTTGCAGTGATTAGGTGTGGATGTAAAAAATTCCAGCCCCTATCATATGCAATGTTTGTGATGCCTTGATACACGTCAATTTGCAATGAGATGAAATAACCATTACTATTCCACCTAGGCTAACCATTACTATTCCACCTAGGCTAACACTTACAATGTCTTATAACAGCCTATAATTTTCTTTTACTTTGTGAGTAGTATATTTTGTTCTTTTCCACTTCAATGTTGGTGAATAAAAGCCAATTGAAGGCAACCGCAATAAATTCGATCAAGTAACAAGTGCAATGAAAACAAACAAATCAGTAAAATTAAGATGTGATTGTTTATACAACTACATTATAAAAACTTGATCTGATGGAATTACTCCATAGATTTTCTTCTGTAGAAAAAATTGCTTCATCCAACGAAGGGATATTCGGGCTTGGAACATTAACTTCAAACTTCAAATTTATTATTTTTCAGCATTAATTACAATATAATTAGACAATTTAATTATACGAAATTTACCCATTTACGTATTTTCAAGCTGCAAAACAAATTTTTTTATTGAAATTTTTACTGTCGCAAGTTATTAACGCCAATAGAAAAGCAATTAAAACGGTTGAATTTAAAATATTATAATTTAATATACTAAACATAAGTCATTATCAAAATCGAACAACTAAACTAACTTTAATATTTTAATGTTTTAAACTTTAATGTTTAAAACTGAAAACGTTATTATTATCTGAATCAAATTTAATAAAACTTTAATATCGGAATTAAATTCAATAGACTACCATTTTTTATTCACGCCTACAAAAATAAATACATTATGTACAATTCCTGACATTATCGCTTAAATATTTCTTCAGGACATAAAATAATACAATTTAAATTATGTAATAATATAAAACGTTAAATTTTTTAAATTAATTTACAATCTGTTACCTTTTTTTAAATTTAAAGTTAAAATAAATTAACAAGTAAATTTTCATGGTTGAATCTTGGTCCCGTTTAATAATATATCCTTCCAAATTATTCAGTTCAATCAATCTTCGTTTTGTATCCAGAAACCCGGTTCTCCGAGGTAGGACGTTGTTTTCTTTGCCACCAACTTTTTGCGCCAAATTAGACGATCAGTTGTATCCATTTCATTTAAATTTAGAGCTTTCATGTCTTGCTCAATTGTTTGCGACCAGTACTTCTTTGGACGGCCTTTGGGACGTGTGCCAGGTACTTCAACATCTGCAAGAGAAGTTATGGCACTGTTTCCACTTCGTTTGACATGACCAAACCACCGCAGACGGTGTTGCCGGCATTCGTCCTTTATATCATCTAAACAAGCACGACGCAGGATTTCGGTAGATTTGATGTGGTCCTTCAGACTAATTTGTTGCATCCATCGGAGCATTTTCGTGTCGGTTCGTTGAAGTTTTTGTTCCAGTTTGGTTGTCATTGGCCATGTTTCTGCACCATATAACAACACCGGACGTATCACAGATTTATAAAGTCTTGATCGTAGTGGTAGTGGGATGTCACGCCGCATCAATATAGAGGCAAGGAGATGCCATTTATTCCAGGCTGCACGTATGCGTGCTCGAACGGCAGCTTCAGCTGTTCCTGTACAATCCAGGACATCCCCTAGATATTGAAACGATGTGACTTTCTCTATTTTAATGGCTTCAAAAACAGTGCTATTTTGAATTTGTTGTTGTGGATTGATGCAAGCAGGACAAACAAAATTAGACACTTTAGATAAAGTACCTATTATTTTTGAACAACGTTTGTGACACCACTGGTTACACTGCTGACACTGGTTTAAATTGTTACCTACACCAGCTTTATAAACTGAATAGGGCCATCGTCCAGTAGCTGTGGTTTGGATGGGTTCACCAGTGTTCATTGCTTTGGTTTTGCTGATGTTGACTTTGAATCCATGATCGGTGAGTCCGGTGTTCCAATCTTCAAACATCTGTGCTGCATTCTGCACAGACGTGGCTGTTAAAACGATATCATCAGCATATATTAGATTCCAAATGTCACCAGCGCGAATCGGTTTTGCGATTTCTTCCATCACAGTTATAAATAACAGAGGACTGAGAATCGAGCCTCGGTGAACTCCAACGCCGATGTCAAATGCATCTGTGTTTCCAACCATTGTGCTGACGAGAGTCTTAGTATTCATCACAAGTCGAACAAGTTATTCTGGAATGAGTTGACGACGTAGACTCCCAAATAAATAATTTAGAAAGGTGAAGCAGATAGTTTTGGCAAACAAAAGAAAATTCTATAATAATGTAATGGACAACTGTTTTAAAAGATCACAAAGTACATACATCCTGGCTCCAAAGCAAGCATATAAATAAATATGAATGATATGAAAAGGATATCTTTGCATTTGAACCGGGTCACAGCAACATAGGACCAACTAGCTAGCTACTCTAACCACTGAGCTATCACAGCACAGGTAGAAAACTAAACAACGTTGAAAAAAAGTTGTATAAAATTAAATTAAGATTTTATAGACTGTTGAGCAAAAATGTTTATTTGTAATATTTTATATTATATTGACAAGAAAGGCAATTTTAGCCAAATAAATTGTTTATAACTTGTATAAATAAATAATTATTTAGTTTTTATTTTATAACTCGAAAAACAGTAGGGTAACGTGGGGTAAAACGCCTACTAGGGGTAAGAGGTCTCCCGTCCATGTTGAGCGAAATTATTGCGCTGCAATTTTTTTTTAACTGCCATAATATTAGATTATCTATGTAATTAAATGGTCTGTGTTGTGGAAGCCGCGCGTTGTTTTGGTTGATAATTAATGAAAGTTTAAGATTTTAGGGCTATCTATTACAAATATAAACATAATCATTAAAGCTTTTTCTCAAAAACTGAAGTTATTCTCAAAAAGTTGAAGTAAGTGATAAAATTTTGTATTATTTACACTATTTAACACCATTTTTTTAAAATCTAAATTTTAATCCATCGTAGCACATTATCGGTTAAAATTTTACAATACACTTTGGGGTAAAACGCCCCCCTATAAAATGGGTAAAACGCCCCCTTTTAAATAATGTAATTAAAGAATAATTTTATACTAGAACTATTTGATATTGTTTTAATCCTTAAAATTGAAAAATGAAATTTAACAGTTGTTTGTTGGTTTCCTTTTTAACTTTAACAGTCATACTTTTAAATTTAACTTAACAGAATGCCACGGTCTTACAAAAGAAAATCAGCAAGAGGATCATACGGCGAAGAGTCGCTTCGTCAGGCATTAGCGGCCATTCATGATGGAACACCAGTGAAAACAGCTGCACGGCAGTACGGTATTCCTCAACGAACACTAAGACGACACCGGGATAAGAAAGTATTACAGCCGGAAAAATTGAAATTGGGACGATTCGAATTGGATATTCCCATTCAATATGAAAAAGAATTGGTGTCCCTAATTCAAAATATGGAAAAGGCTTTATTTGGTCTAAGCATTATGGATGTGCGAAAATTGGCATATGATTTTGCTGAGAAAATAGACCTGGAGCATCGATTTAGTAATGAGACAAAAATGGCAGGAGTAGATTGGATACACGGTTTTTTAAGGAGAAATAACCAACTGTCAATAAGACAGCCTGAGGCAACAAATATCTCACGAGCAGTCGGTTTTAATCAGGAGAAGGTTAAATCTTTTTTTGACATTTATGAGGAACTTCAGTCCCTATACTCGTTTAATGCTTTGACAATCTAGAACGTCGATGAAACGGGTATTTCAACAGTGCAAAAACCAGTAAAAGTGGTTGCGACTAAAGGCACTAGACTTGTTGGTCGTATGACAAGCGGGGAACGGGGTCAAACTACAACAGTAATGTGTGCTTTCAATGCAGCTGGGATGTACATACCTCCAATGTTTATTTTTCCACGGAAGCTTATGGTTGACTCTTTGATGAATGAGGCACCACCAGGTGCTATTGGAGTTTGTACCCCAAGCGGTTGGACAGACAGTGAATGTTTTATGAGATGGTTGAATCATTTTACATTTATTGTAAAGCCATCAAAAAAAGACAAGCATCTTATTTTTCTTGATGGACATCACTCTCACAAAACACTTGAGGCAGTGACATTTTGTCGTGAAAATGGAATTGAATTAATAACATTTCCACCCCACTGCACACATAAGATGCAGCCTCTTGATGTTTCCTTTTTTAAAGGATTGAAAGCTGCATACAATGCAACTGCAGATGGATGGATGCTTAGTAACAAAGGAAGACGGATAACCTTTTATGAAATAGCTGGACTATTTTTAAAAGCATTTTTGAAAGCAGCCACCCCAGAAAAAGCTGTGCATGGTTTTGAATGCACTGGTTTGTGGCCTCGAAACAAATTTTTTCTGAAGAAGATTTTTTTGCATCAAAGCTAACAGATGAACCCTTACCGAATACAGTCACTTTAGCTCAACAAACACCTGAATCTGTGAAACCTGCACAGGATGTTGATCATGCAAAAAAAGATCATAAAACGACACTGTTGAAGATCATGGGTCAAATTAAAATTGACAACGTGAGAATTAGAAAACGAAAATCAGAAAAAGCTGCCCTTTTGACATCTAGTCCTTACAAAAATTTACTCGAAAAAAGGGAAAATTCAAAAACTATGTCAAAACGACAACTGATAAAAGGTAGCGGTAAAGAAAAAAAGAAAAAAATTGATTGTGAACCATGTAATACTTGTCAGTTGAAATATTGTGATGACGTAACGGGTCGAAACTGGATTCAATGTCAGTCTCTAACATGCTCACAGTGGTACCACAATGAATGCCAAGGACTTGATGAGAACTATAATGAACAATTTATATGCATTGATTGTGAAAATTCTGATTCAGATTAAGCATCAGTTCTGTTTTAATAAACGTTTGAATAATTGAATAATCAATTTAAATACATTAACAGTTTTTTTTAATATTTGTTAACATTGTTTTTATAGTTTTGTTTAATAAATTTGATTGAATATTCAAATTTACCAATGTATTTTTAAACACTATCTATGACATTGACAATGGGGTAAAACGCCTCCCAGTAGGCGTTTTGCCCCAATGCTGGGGTAAGAAGCCCCTTTATCAAAAGTTTTAATGGCAAAAATTTTTCATTGGGTCCTTTTTATTTGTTAAAATTATGTATTTATATAAAATACTATGAGTGATCTTTCTGGAAGTTTAATAATCTCACAGTTTTATAGCATAAATTTGATTTAATCGAACTTTTTCCTTAGAGTCTTACCCCATGTTACCCTATGTATTTACCATTTTTTCCAGCTTTACTGAGCACTGGTTCTCTTGAAAGAAAAATTGATACAACTTGAAGGGTACACAAAAACTGCGAATGACAATATATAAAATGCATTATTAAACAACTTGAAAATGATTACACCGAAAATGATTTTTATAAATTTTAAATAAAACTTCAGGCTGATGAAAAATAGATAAAACTTGAAACGAAAATGTAAAAAAAATTTGAAACGTGGACACTGTATAAAATTTAATATAAAAGTGAGTATCGACTGCCTATGATTACAAGTAAATATCGAATGCCTATGGTTACAACTCTTCTGAGCTACATAATTTGGTACAAAATAAAAACCTTTCATGAAAAAACTCCACTATTTTCTTTGTTTGCGTAGAGGTATATATATTAAAATTTGTTTTTTCGAAAAGACATTTCAAATGTTGCCCATAATGGATAGTGGAAAGATTCATAGCTAAAAATTTTAAATTTCGTTTATTAGTTGAATCAAATCATAATATCTATCAAGGGTGAAATTATTTTTTGACTTTTAAGATTTTTTTTCTAGTTTTGTAATCAGCGAAAAAATTTTCTAAATTAAGATATTACAATAATAAAACTATGTTTGATGAGGTCAAAGTTTCAATAATAAATTTGAACTCAAGGACACTAAATCCAAAAAACTTAACTATTTAAGAGTTTCTGAATTTTACTTGAACTTTAACTTTAAAATGAAAATAATTTTTTCCCTCCCATATTTCTCCCTTTTTCTCTCTCTAACAAGTCAGATTGTAGTCAAGCATCTACTTTTATTTTATAAGCACACATATAAAACAAACGAAAGTGAATAAAAATCAAATTAGCTGCCAATTTAATTTGATCTGAACATTTGAGGAACAATTTAATAAATTCTAATTTATCATCATCATATTTAATATATTGTTACAGAAACACTGAGTGAATCATATTTAAAAAAAATTAAACATCTTCTATTAATACTCATACGTATTGAATGACGAGAGAAATAGACCACCAGATTTATTAATTTTAACTCTTCCATTTTATTAATTTTTTTATCATTTTATTTTATTACATCCATGGTTCATTTTGACTAATAAAAAGCAGTGTTCTGACTTATTGTTGTTGTTATTTTTATGAACATTTATAAGGTGCTTTTTATAAAGAAATGTTTTTTCAAAAGCGCTCTTAAAACTAAATTAAAATGGCATACACGAAAATTCTTCTTCCTTCACAAGCAGTTGATGGGTTAAAACTACTTCTATTTATTGTTGTTGTTGAAAAAAATTCTCAACTATTAGTGCAGAACCTACTGAGGCATCAACGGTCATCATGCTTAAAATCATCAATTAGTGAATTTTCTATTATAGAAATAAAAATATTTGTATCAACACGATTCCAGGATCGGATCTTTATTGGTCACAACTCGAATAGGCAGCGAAACCGACACAAGGCAGTGACCAGAATACATTCTGCTTGGATACACACAACAATTAGAAAAACACATTCCCTGTGGCAGCACAATTAAATCAAGGGTACCACCCAAAATACGTGTCCCCTCTTTTATAATATTATGCAATAAAAACATATCAAACGACACTGAATGAGGTTCATACATTCTTTCGACATAAATTACCAAGAAACAACTCATCACACAACAAAGACAACTGCTCCAAAACTGTCAACAACTTATGAAAAAACAGCGGACAGCTCGATAAATAGCAAACAAAATTAACTCAATAACCATAAATTTAAATTTAATGACAACAGCCTTGAGCAAATCAAAATTTGGTATTTCAAGTTTACCAAAAACAAAATTCGATCAAAAATAAAGAGTTTTACTCCCATGTTTAGGATCATTAGACCTTAAAAATCAACAAAATTATAGCCCGAAAGCATAGCCAACATTACAGAACTAGAACTATCATTAGATGCACCATGCCCGACTCTGTAAGAACCACATTATCCAATCCCTTATATAACAATCGAAAAACATTATCAACTTTTGAAACAAGAGATCTAATATTTAACAACCCAAGATTTATATTAGATATTTTAACATTTATATTAGATATTTTTTGCTATTAACTTTATTGAATTCAAAAATATTATTAGTATGATTTTTAATGTTTAAATCTTTTCTTTTTTGAATTTTATAATTCTCCAGCGCCCAATGTCTCCATTTACCCTGCATAAAAAATCATTTTTATTAAGCTCCTGTTTTTTGCTAGCTTCAGCAATAAATCTATGCGTCATATCATGGCGAATAAAAATCTTACTCAAGTCATCACAGAGACTTTTAATTTTAAAGAAGTTTTTCATGACAGTATGTTTGCTCTCACTATTGTTGGGTGTTATCAGTCTTTCTTCCTATTCGTCTAATTTTAAAAAACTAATCATCGTTCACAACGCCTCCTGTAATATCAACAAACTTCTAACATAAATTTTTTAATGGCGGTATAGGATTCATTTTTATTTAATCTAAAGATCGCTATATTTTTTTCTCGTTTTATTAATCAATTTTTCACCTCAATGTTTTGAAACAATTTTTACTTCATAGTTGACCGTTTCAACACCATCACCAATCTGTCCCTTAACAACATCCGCAAATGTTGCATTCAAATCATTTTTTCATCAAGACTCAGAAATCTTTTATCCGAGCAATCAACAATTTCCTTAATTTTATTAATGTCTTCAAATAAAATTTTATGCAATGCATAAATATTATAATTATAATATTTTTTGTGAAATTGCAAACATTTTAGACAAGCGATTTAATTTTTAACGCCTAAAAATAAACTAGAAGATATCAATCAAAATGGAATACACAAAAATATTTCAACAACGCTTTTTATATAACATTTTGAACAAAGTAGCGGTATCAATTTTAGCGCTAATTTTTCATTAAGTAGCTACAGCGGTAGCGGCGCTACTTTTCACACGCCGTAACGGTGTTGATAGCGGCACTCCTTTAATGAGTAGCGTTAACAATCCTGCTCATTCGTATATTTTCAGGCCATAAACAATTTTTGGCAAATACTTCTGTATATATGTCATCAACACACTATCGAAACGATGTAGAAAGCTGCGGGTCATCAGGAGTACTACACCCACTTTCTTTTTACAAACAAGGTATCAGAACAGAGCCCCGACATTAATTGACTTCAAATGTCATTCGCAGCACATCGCATTGCTAACGTGAAATAAATTTTCGCGTTGAAAAATTTTACTGACTGTCATTGCTGGTTTTTTGATAACCTAAAACCAGTGATGTACTTTGATACAAATGAAATTATTGAAATAATTTTTAGCGTTCGTTGTTTTTAATTCCGTGAAGTTTTTTTGGCGCGCATGTGTAACGAATGGCGCAAGTGTGTATGTTGGCGCGCATGTTGTATGTAGGTGTGCAGGCTGGTCGAATGTCGTATGAATTAGTTTTGTGTGCAGGTTGGTAGAATATTGTATTAACTAATTTTTGTGTGAATGTTGGTGTGGTAAGGCGCAAATATAGTGAGTATGTGTGAGAATGAATGTTCTTTCAGTTTGTTTATTATATAAGCGTTTTGGGGGGTTAGTTTTTGAATTAGTTTTTGGGAAAGTTTTCGAGTTAGTTTTTGATAGAGTTTGTTTTTGGGGTTATTGTGGTTTGTAATTGGTTAGTCGGTTCCTGCATGTTTGGCTGCTCTGGCGTTTGTTGTTTTGGAATTTCGTTCATTATTACGGCTGGTAAAAACAGTTTTCGATTACTCACAATATTTAATTTAGTTCAGTCGTTGACTTTGAAACATTTAATTTAAAGAATATAGTAAGTAAATATTATTTTGTTTGTTTATTAATAAAATTATTTCAGTTAGGTTGTGTTTGGCACTTTTAAAAACTAAAACATGTTTGAAGGAGACTTGCTAGCGGTTAATAGAGCCAGATTAACCGACCAGCAAGCAGGGCGCGATAACTCTTCCGACCGACCCGTGTTTTACGACCCGGAAATAAAAAGTTGTGAAAAGGCGAGTCCCGGCCAGAAGCGAGACTACCTAGGCTGGCGGCGGCGGTTGTTGATTTTCGACCGAAGGAAGGATTCCGCCGCGCGGAAAAAGTTCCCAATTGGCGCTCAACGTTGGACTCTTCTTCAAAAGTTTTAGGTGACAAGTACAGCAGGATTCAAGGTGATTACCCTCGTCAATTTTTAGGTGACGGGTATATCACATAAAATTAAAATTGTTTTTCCCAAACTTTTAGGTGACAGGTATGGCAGTGACCGAAATGAAATTCCTAATTCCAAATTTTTAGGTGGCAGGCACGATAAGAGCCGTAACGAAACTTTCCCAAATTTTTTAGGTGACAGGGCTGGTCCTACTGAAAATATTTTAGATTTTAAGTATCAGGTAGGTCAACAGTCAGTACCGGAGGCAGTTGTTTGAGTTGTTTGGAAAACTTCTCCAGGATTTTCAGGTAATGGGTTTAACGACGCACAGATAATTTTCAGTTTCAAGTCTGCGGAATTCACGCCAGAACAAGTTTTATCAGTTTATAAGCCTACGCCAGCACAAAGGCCCTCTGTTATTCGTAAACGTAATAATGTTTCTAATTCCATGAATAGGTGCAGAATGGTTTAAGAGGATGAAGAAGTCGAACATAGTCTTTCGTTCGACAACCACGGGGAATCACTGCATTGTCAGCCGAATGTAAATACCAAACATCACAGGTTGGTCCGACATCATGAGCTGTTAAAACCAGACAAGTTTGATGGCCCTGGGTGTCTCAAAACTTTTCTTAAGAAGTTCGAGATATGTGCAATGTATAACCGATGGAGTATGGACAACATGGAAGCGTATCTGTCATGTTCGTTGACAGGTGAAGCTGCTAAAGTTCTTTGGGACTTAGCAGAACTAGGTTATCAAGAATTAGTAACAAAGCTAGAAAACCGTTATGGAACTAGTGGTCACGAAGAGTCGTATAGATATGAGTTGCAGACTCTTCGACGCAAACCAGGTGAGTTGCTTCGTGAATTATCACAAATGGTATAAAAGTTAATGTCGTTAGCTTACCCGGGCGAACAGTCAAAGTTGGTGGTACATTTAACAAGAGATTTTTTTATTTGCTCTTAATGACGCTGATTTAGAACTGAAAGTTAGAGAAAGGGAACCAAGAAATATTGATGATTCGTTACGAATTGCACAGCGCCTTGAAGTTTTAAAAAACTTAGTTAATTCATCCTACAGGTTAGGAACATGCAGGATACAACAGAAAACAAGATGAAGGCAGTGGAGCGACAAATGAACGCGCTTCATCAATCGGTTGACTTCATTCATAGCCATAAGGTACAGTCAGCTGTTCCTCGGATCCGGGGTGACAAGATTTGTTTTGACTCTGTAAAACCAGGAGTCTTCATCTCCCAATGCTCTCAAAAAAATATACCAAACAAGTTTCAGTCAAGCAATCAAAAGGGTCGGAATAATTGTTACAGATGCGAAAAATCAGGCCATTTCAAAAGGGAATTTCCAGAGAAAGAAAAGTCGAATAAACAATCAAAACGCGTGAACAAATCTAATGAAAATGATGACCAAACTTTATATCTGCCAATTTCGGTAAATGGCAGAAAAAGATTGGGTTTGTTGGATAGTGGAAGGAAGCAACGTATCCATCATCTTGTCCTCAATGGTTGACGTCGCAAGGGTCACACCTACCAAAAGATCGCTGAAGGCTGTGAACAATACAGAGATTCCAATAAAGAGGAAAATGAGGCTATGGATAAAGGTCGGTGGATTTTCTAAGCTTGCTTCATTTTTGGTATCAAACCACGTATCAGAAGTTATCTTGGGTTTAGATTGGCTAGTAAATAATAAAGTCTCATGGAAGTTTGGCAAAGCACAAATTACCATTGGTAACAAAAATATAATAATGAAGTTGATCACTAAAAGATTGTCAGAGAGGCGATTGTGCCGAATCTACTCCAATGTAGAAGTGCAACTTCCAGCACGAGCTGAAATAGATGTACCAACAAAATTGGTGGTACGCCAGCCATCCAAATTAACATTGACAGATTGTGTATGTTCTGAAGCAAAGCAAGTGACGTCAGGTGTATTTGTTGCTAGAACGTTGCTTCCGATAAAATACGATGGTTAATGCGTCAGAATATTAAACGTAAATGACGAATCCAAGTTGATTAAACAGGGAACGAGGTTGGCCGATCTTTCATGGGCCATGGTGGAAAACAAGTTGGATCAACAAGTTGGATTTTTAGGTTTAGCTAAATATTATCGACGTTTTGTTCATGAATTTTTACAATTGGCAAAACCGTTGAACTTTCTCCTAAGGATCAAACGAAAATTCAGCTGGGGATTGGAGCAGCAAAAAGCATTCGAAAATTTAATGTCTGCGTTGACAACTGCACCGGTTTTAGCTATGCCACAAGACGATGGATTTTTTGTTCTGGACACGGATGCTTCTCAGTAAACTATTGGAGCAGTATTGCCGCAGTTGCAGGATGGCAAAGAAAAGGTAATTGCTTATGCTAGTCGGACCCTGAGTCGAGCTGAAGAAAATTATTGCACTACGCGAAAAGAGTTGATAGCAGTGATTTATTTTTTAAAATACTTCAAGCAACATTTGTTAGGTAGGCATTTTACCATCAGAACGGATCTTGCAGTACTGACATGGTTGAGAAACACACCCGACCCTATTGGTCAACAGGCAAAATGGTTAGAACAAATGGAGGAGTTTTATTTTAATATTATCCACAGGGCAGGTACGAAACATGGTAATACAGATGCCATGTCTTGGAAACCGTGTAAAAAAGAGTGCTGCAAGCCAGAAAGACGAGCGGTGGAACAGATTAAAAAAGCAGACGAATTTACTGACCTGAAAGAGGGTCAATATGCGGATAAGACAATCCAGGTTTTTTCAGTAGCTGCAGGAAAATTCTGCCAAACCGCCCTGAGACGACATATCAAGTGAAGATAGGACCTATGGGACCGTCTAGTGATCAAAGACGGAGTCTTATGTAGACAGCTCGAAATAACAGAGACTGGAGATATGGTTTGGCAGGCCTGGGTGCCTACAAATATGATTAACTCTGTATTATTAATTGCCCATACAGGAATAACAGGTGAACATTTAGGAGTGAGTAAACTGAAAGAATCCGTTCAACGAAGAGTTTACTGGACAACATGAAAAACTGATGTTGAGATGTTCGTCAAGACGTACGAGAAATGCAGTCGGTATTACTGGGGTAAGCCACCATGGCGAGCAAAAATAAAAATAATGTTGTCGGGCATGCTCTGGACATCACCGGGCAACATCCAAAATCGAAGAAAGGCATCATATCTTTATAAAAACGATTTTGGGACCTTTTTCGAAAAGGACAGAAGCATTTTCGATACGAAAACACACAGAAAAGTTGAAAACATCGCCGTACAATCCATCATCCAATGGGGCGATAGAGCGATTCCACAAAACGCTTAATTCAATGCTGATCAAAGTTGTGGATGAATCCCAAAGTGATTTGGATGAACATTTACCACAAATTATGGCAGCGTACCGGGCAAGCGTACATTTGGCGACAGGGTTTACCCCAAATAGGTTATTTTTAAGAAAAGAAAACATGATGCCAGTGGATCTGGTGTATCGATTGCCTAACGAATCCAGCCTAGGTGAGGCTTACCCTGAATTTGTGAAACAAGTGCTCAACCGGTCATTAGTAGCTCATCAATTGGCGCAGGAAAGACTAAAGACAGTGCCACTTTATAAAAAGTCATTGTCCGATTCTAAGGTCAAAGTTTTGACTCTACAACCGAGAGACAAGATATGGTACCTGTACCCAAGATCTTGACAAGGTATATCTCCAAAATGGGTCAGCCCATACGTGGGTCCATATATAGTGGATCATTTAATTCCTCCAGTCAACGCGGCAATAAAAAAAACGACAGAGCTAAACCGTTTGTCGTCCACATAAAAAAAATTAAAATTGATTTGTTGATTAATTTCTGTTAATTTATTCTCATTTTTTTAGATAGGATGAAACAGTGCACCAAATGTGGGAGAAGGATATTAGCACGCAACTACAAGAGACATTTTGACAAGTGCACTGGAGCAGGAAACAGTGCATCAGATAGCCAGCTGGTGTCATTGCGACGGGCAGTTCCGTATTTAGAGAACAATACACCGGAGAAGACGGTCAACGCTTTGAAATTATCTTTCCCGGATATTCCGTCAGGTGAATTGTGGAAAGGTTACATTGTTGCAAGGGCATCAATGAGTGAACTGGTCGCAGCATTGACCTCGAGTTTCTTGCTTGAAAATTGTGCCGAGGAACCGACACAACGAAAAAGACGAGCAAGCAAACCCAGATAGTGGGCGAACCAGTTTGTAGCTTTCGAACTGCCCGATGAAGAAAACCAATCAAAACAGGTCAGAGAGTAAGTAAATATTATTTTGTTTTTTTTTTGTTTATTAATAGAATTATTTCAGCTAGGTTTTGTTTGTCACTTATAAAAACTAAAACATGTTTGAAGGAAACTAGCTAGCGGTTAATAGAGCCAGATTAACCGACAAGCAAGCAGGGCGCGATAACTTTTCCGCCCGGCCCGTGTTTTCCGACCCGGAAATAAAAAGTTTTGAAGAGGCGAGTCCCGGCCAGAAGCGAGACTGCCTGGGCTGGCAGCGGCGGTTGTTGATATTCGAGCGAAGGAAGGATTTTGCCGCGCGGCAAAAGTTCACAATTCTATTCTATCAGCATGTACAATTTATTGAATATTACATAGCAAACGGGTATCAGCTGATGATGCATACACAATTGCAGATTAAACAAAATTAACTTCTTTATTAAATCCAGCACGGCCGTCAAAAAATGGACTCGCGATGCAAAGATAAACAGGAATGACATAATAAATAGAAATGTAAATTACAATAATTACATACTTAATTTAGTTAGTATATAGTCAAATAAATTGTACAGGCATGTCATTTGATTTTTATCTAAATTTTCTTCTTTGGCAAGCCAAAAGCATGATAAATATAAATCAACGATGACTGCCTCTTTCAAATTTGAATTTAAATTGTAAAATCCCAATGAGCCGGTTATGATTCTAATAAAATAAAATTTGTTATATTTAGAATTTGTGGTTTATATTTTGCCTCAAACTAACTCTTCGAGACATTTTTTGTCGACAGCTTCGAACAATTGCTGCAAAATAATATCATTAAACTTCATAGTCAGTCTGACGTGTTCACAATCGATGGCAAACTTAAAACATAACAGGAATTTGAGAATACTGAAGAAAATATAAATTAGTAACAAATTTGTATTAAGCAATTTCGATGTTAAAAAAGTTTAACAAGAAAAAATAAAAAAAACTCTTGCAAAATTTAAAAAAAAACCATAGGCGACACAACAATTATTAAAATACTGAGTTCAGTTTAAACAAAGGTGAATTTGAGTATCTAATATGACTGTTATGATGTTAAAATTATTATTGTCACAAAGCTTGATAAAAAAAAATAAAATTTCGCTTTTCGACGTAGATAGTTGAGTTGTTATTCGCGCTACTCTTAAGAATTCGAACGATTGGACTAAATTTTTTCAATTAATTTACATCAATTCATATAAATATTATATATATATGATATATATATATATACATATATATATATATATATATATATATATATATATATATATATATATATATATATATATATATATATATATATATATATATATATATATATATATATATATATATATATATATATATATATATATATATATATATTGATTGATAACCAGAAATGACATTGGTTTTCAAACGCAAGTTTATGTAAAAGACACCAATTTGGGATTTTGTCTTAATGGTAAAAGCGAGACCTCAGAACAATATAAAAATAGTGTTATATTTTCTTTAGTTAACAGAGTGTTTCAACATTGCTCTGATTATACACTCATCAACTCAGAATTATTAAGAATAAAAAAACTTCTCGTGAACAATAATTACTCTTTGAAACAAATTGATCTAGTCATAAATAGATTAACCAAAAAATATCATGAAAATGCACAAAATATACATCAAAATAATGAAATTACCAACAACGTTCCAAACAACAATGAACAAGAAGATAATGGCAACCCCTCCACCACGTCTAATAACTTTGATAATAACAGCATCACAAGGCTCACTACAAACAGTAATAACAATAACAACAACAATAACAAGAACAGCAACAACAACAGCCGTATCATTAGAAACCAAATCAACAACAAAATGGGCACATACACAACATATCAATTTTAACACCGAGATGGTATAGGAATACCGAAAAAAACTTTTTGTTCAATCATGCATAAAATAAAAAAAAATTTGGTATTGAACTCAAGAAACTTAAAAATGATTTACGATCAATCGTTAGAAAAATCAAAAAGTTAAATTGGAAGTCAACTAACGCAGAATATGATGATGTTTTCATTAATATATATGTATATTAATGAAAATCTTTAACCTAAAATTTTTTGACTAATAAAAAGTCTTAATCCTATATATATATTAATCCTATATATATATATATATATATATATATATATATATATATATATATATTGATTGATTGATAACCAGAAATGACATTGGTTTTCAAACGCAAGTTTATGTAAAAGACACCAATTTGGGATTTTGTCTTAATGGTAAAAGCGAATTTACTATCAAAATTTAAAAACATCCCAACTAATCATGAAAATTAATTGCCTTCCTGCAACTACTCAACTACAACAAAGTCATCTAATATATGAATATAAATGCTCCGTCGGAGAATGTTCGCACCGTAACAATGCTTCATATATTGGAATGACAACTACCACATTGTCAAGACGTTTGACCATGCATCTACAAGATGGAGCAATTAAACAACATTATCAACAACAGCATAACATCACTTTAACACGACAAATGTTAAATAACACGCAAATAGTTTATTGTAATAACAACATCACAAACCTGAAAATCGCTGAATCAATTTTCATTACAAAACAAAAATCCCTACATTCTACCTTCAAATAGATTACTAAATTAAAACAACAATTATTATAATTATAGCAACAACAATTACGACAACAGTAATAATTATAACAATGTTACCACCAACAATATTGATGATGTAAACAACAATCATACCAATAGTGACAACCTTAACAACAACATCAACAACACCAACAACAACATCAACAACAACATCAACAATAACAACAACAACAACAGTGCCAACACTGTAGATACCAATGCTACAACCCACAGCGCCAATATCAGTTGCAATTGGAACATCATCAATAGTGACAACCCTAACAACAACATCAACAACAACAACATCAACAACAACAGCATCAACAATAACAACAACAGTGCCAACACTGTAGATACCAACGCCACAACCCACAGCGCAAATATCACTTGCAAATGGAACATCATCACAAGAAGCAAGAAGAACCACAGCGATAATAATAATAATGGAAACTCTTTTATTTCAATCAAAGTCAATCTAACGAATGGAAGAAAATAGAATAATTAAAATATATACTAATGTAATAATATTCAATAAAACCACAATGCTCATTATCTATGACAAGTGCAAAACGGTAAAATATTCAAATTGGTTACGGATTGTTTCTATCGCAATAAATGGCATACGTCGATTTAATAACTGTATAAGTTAATTTGTTAATAAATGTAATCGGCCATGAATTTTTAATTAGAGACAAGTTTAAAACATTAAAAAAACCAATCGGGGTGATTTCAAATGTTTTCAAAACAATTAAACTGTTTTTAAAGTCAGCCTTTAAACACAATAACAAGTTATTTTCGTATTTCGATTGTTTGTAATTTTTTGATTTTATCAGATTTGTTTCATGGCACACCGTTAATTCGATGACTTCAATCTTGTGGTCGCGCAAAATGGCGATGTCTGGACGAAGAGCGTCGAACAGTTGCGATATTGGCAGGACTCCTTACGAGACGATATCAGCGAATATCCGGCAGTCCGGCTGTCGACATGTTTTTAACCAACTGACGATTTCGGATAAAATTTTATTATGACGTTCAGTATATCTTGCTAACGCGACAACAGATCCACAGTTGGACACAACGTGTTTGTTAGTTTATTGAGCGCCGCAAAGAGGACATAGGGAATCGTGGCTCTTTCCCCATCTGAGCAGATTGGCGTTGTTCGGCAATTGCTGTATAAGATATTTCCTGGCAAATTTGTAGAGAGTTTCTGAAACCAAATCTAATTGTTTTGACCAATGTGTTATTCGCGATAGTGATATTACCTCTGTTACTGATTTAACAATGGAACACTGGCTCTGAAGCGACACAACATGATTCCAGTTGGCAGTTATCTGATCTTCCTTTAAATGTTTTAACGAATGAGTTGTTGTGTCTGTATCTGATAATAAATTGTCCACCATTTTGTAGTCTATTGATGTTTCCCGCCAGAGACAGCGAATTTCTGAGTTTCGGTTCGTTTTGAAGTAATTGCAGAGTTTTAATCTCATTTTTAACGCAGTATCCCTGAGTGAAACAATATTATGACCTGCTGTCTTCAATGGTAGCCTTAGAACCTCTGATACACAACCGCTAATTGGCATCGTTAGCCAATCTCTAACTGCCTCTGTCACCATGTTGTCCAAGTTATTTTTTATCCACGTCAGTGAAAGATTATAGCTTCTCAATTCAAATTTTAATTGTGACGGGATAAATCTTCTTAAGACCTGGAGTTTCATTTGAGTGGAAACCTTTAGATCCGTTGTCCTCTTTAACAGTCTTGTTAATTTGGAAACCGTTTCTTCTT